GTGATGTACTCCTGTCGTGATGTACTCCTGTCACGATGTACTCCTGTCACGATGTACTCCTGTCGTGATGTACTCCTGTCGTGATGTACTCCTGTCGTGATGTACTCCTGTCGTGATGTACTCCTGTCGTGATGTACTCCTGTCGTGATGTACTCCTGTCGTGATGTACTCCTGTCATGATGTACTCCTGTCATGATGTACTCCTGTCATGATGTACTCCTGTCATGATGTACTCTCTTTCTGATGGCACGACAAGAGAATGTAGATTGTCTCCTGATTTAGACAATAAATTCTCTTCATCACTCAGTTTTTTGTTTTTTTTTCAAGATGTCTTCATTACTCTTTTCATCAGTCCAGGGAGTTGTCATAATTTGTCTATAAAAACTACATCTCCGCCGTTGCCAAATAATTGTTCACTGTTTGCTAACTGTTTATGGTTCATTCAAAGTCTGGGACTCACAAAATCTAGAACACTGACTGAGAGCGTAAGTAAAATGTAAAGGACCCTTTTCTCTTTTTGGAAGACCTATATTTTACGGACTTATTAGCATTCAAGTGGATGACGTGGTCAAAATCACACCGGCTGCCTTTACTTCCAAAGACTTTATCTAGGTCGACCTGGGAGACAGAGGTTATTTTTGAAGAATGTTCTTTGTGAGCATAGAGCTAATTTATTTATGGTTAACTCGGTGGAATCTGTAACCATGCATATAATGTCAGATCAGACCTTTATTGTAACAAAGGTCACTTGTGTATGAACTAGCACTGGTGATTGTGATATTGTTGATACCCTGTTACTTATTGTATACATTCACATGGAAGCTGTGTTATTGTATTCGTATGCTGTTAGCAGGAGCGACAGTAAAACAAAGAAATTATATGGGCCCCTTGCACATTTTCTGAGGGAGGGTGGTCCCTCAGGAAGAGGGGGCGCTTAGCCTTGTTTAGGTGATTAATAATATTAATGTGCTGATTGATAAATAAACAGTAACATATTTGAAAGATGATATGGATGAATAAAAACTGTGCCTACGCCCTCCCCCAGGTTGGTAGTATATAGTTATGCTGTATGAGCTTTTGACTGGCAGATTAGAATGCTGGTTGCATATTACTGAGGGTCGTGTTTATATCCGCCGTAAAAGCGTTGTGTCTATCGAGAGTGGGTTAAATAAATCCTAAACATGAACATTGCATGGCAGGAAGCCTTAGCTCAATCCTTGTCAAATCTGCTGGTGTATACCTTCTGCTTTATGGGGGCTGAGTGGTCTTGAGGCATTGCATCTGCCTCAAGTGTTGGAGGTCCTGGGTTCAGACCCCGATGAAGGCTGGGATTTTGTTCACATGGACTTCTAATAATTTCCCCTGGTCTCTAGGTAGTGAGATCGGACACCCATGTGTATTGTAGCGGCGCACATAAAAAATCGAAAAGAGTAGCCTAACAGCACTGCCTCTGCAAAATTTGGAGTTAAAATCTACCTAAAAGTGGTTCAGGATCCTTGGCGGTGCTACAGAGTTTGTGCACATCTTTAGACTCAGATTTGAGTTAGAAGTAGAACAGAGCACTTATGGGTTACTATCCTTGTACCATGATGTTGGTCTGTTGTTCAAACCAACCTTCTTTCTTCTCAACGTTTGCTATATACTTTCTTTTTTACATTCACCAGCTGTAAACTGGCGGAAAGTCCTGGCTGTTCATTTACCTCTGGGCTTTAGTCTTGTTCCAGGACTCGAGTTTTGCATGCAGACTGTTGGTTCCTCACTTCTCAGGCAAATGCACTCCAACAGAAACACTAATTGTTCAACTTTTATGACATGCTTGTTAAAGGACAGTGGGTCTGTTCTTATAGTTCCCAAACTGGAGTCCTGGAACCCACATGGAGCGGGTGGGTACAAGAAATAGTATTTAATGCTGGAAGTGGTGACTGCATGTACACTGTGAATGCTTTGTCTATACACCAACAGCAGAATGTCTTATCTTTTTAACTTCTGTTGTTTTTCTTTTCTTTATTGCAGTCTTTTGATTGATCTCTCAATCTGTTCACTAGTGGAATATTGTGCCTTTGTTTATTTCATTCTTCCCGTATTCGGCATAGGTAGACATAATCAGCACTGGGTCATTTGTAAAGCTATATTGGACAAAGAGGAGGAGAAATACTGACGTCTTGGAAGATCTGAACATCAAGGAAAATTGGCTAATAAACAGCATCCTGTTTCGGGAGCTAAAATATTTTTGTCATATCAAGCGCCATGACGGATTGGAAAATATAGCAGAAGGCATGTACCAGACACGAAGATGGGCACAAGATATAGGTGACTCCTTGAATGTGAAAGTACATGAGGCGGGAGAACTGGCGAAAGACCGAGTTTCTTTCAGGCAGACTGTGATGAGAGCGATGTTCAGCAAAGGACCTGCTACATGATGATGATGATGATAACTTATTGAATGAATGGCAGTGAGCAAGGCAAGACTTATGTTATCTCGTTGTTGTATTCTGTGCCTGAAAGTTAATTACTTGTATTGTTATAGAATTAAAGTCAAGTTGATGGATTTCATTGACCAATTGTATCTTATGTGTCATGGTTTTTCTATCTGTAGAGTAGTCTGGTAGTCTTAGTTTGCAGCTTCATAGCAAACGGGTCGCCCCATCTTTGCTCCGCTCCTGTGCCAATGAAAAACACACAGAATGTTTATCACAGTATTAGAATTGCAGTTTATCATTGATGGTAGCAGAAGTCGCCAACAGAGCAGCAGTAGCCCACGCGATCAATTTTAATCACATACGGGCACCACGACACTGCACGACAGGCATCGCGCCATTTTCTGAATCTACAATTCACACCAACACGTTGGTGTAGAGTAGCTTGCCCAGAGTGTCAAGCAAAGCACGAACTCTATAGCTTCAACATGGATCTCCAAAAACACTGCGCTTATGAACTTTTTTTTTTTTCACCAGCTGTAAACTCTGGCAGAAAGGTCTGGTTGTTCATCCACTTTCAGACTGAAGTCCTGTTCCAGAACGTGAATGTTGGGTGTGCATCCATTTTACAGATCTGACTCATTTGTATGCAGACTGCTGGTTCCTTGCCTTTCAGGCAGATGCACTCCGACTTCCAAGGACGCTCCCAATTAGTCAACTCTTAGGACATGCTTTTGGGGAGGCAGTGGATCTATTCTTGTTTTCCCTCCGGAACCCACACGGGGAACTCGTGAACTGAAGGGCGCATCCACAAGCCAAACCCATGATATTCAGAGCACAGGGCAAACCTGTTTGACCACTTCGCTGTGCGGACTTCTATGTTACAGAATTATTATCTCTGGTGGCACGCTTTTGGATATTGCAAGATGTGGAGAAATGTGATCACTCAGGCCAGAGCTATTTAACTGGTGACCCACTGTAGCCCAGCAGGTGGCAGCTTAACTGTACTAGTGATTTTTCTATCATGGGACTCAGTCCTCTGTTTCGCGATGTTTACCATTGTCAAAATGTTGATTCCCTGAGTTAACTAGGCTAAATAGTCCTGCCTTAGGCAGTCAGCGAGGCACTTGATAATGAATTTCTAATCATCCTTTGAAATGATTGTACTCCAAGAATTGCAAGTGGCAGAATTAGTCAATCCCCAAACTGTCAATCCTTGAAGAATCTATGAAAGACCTGTGCTCTGTTGGGATGAAAGATTCTGTAGTCCCTGAACACTGTCATCAAGTTACTGATCAAATCTTTCCATTTGTGGTCATCAGATGTGCTGGTTTTGATGTTTTCATATTTGAGGCCTGCTGTATCAACCAAATTTTGAATTTAGATCTTTCTTGGCCTGCCTTGTGTCACAAGAGAAGCTGCATTTATCATCACTATCATCATTTTCCGTTGGTGCCATTAGGTTTCATGGAGAGGTTGTTTACAACTCATTGCTTGATGGGCAGCAATCGCAATTGTCATTCCGTATCAATGCAGGTCTTTAATGTCATCAGTCCATCTGCTCCTAGAGCAGATCAGATCTTTTCATGTGTAGCATCTTATTCTGTGTTGGTGGTAGTTATGGTTGCATTCTAATGAGATGACCAAATCATTAGATCTTCTGTTTCTCAGTGAATTTGCTGTTGTTCCCACAATCAGTCTGATAGTATCATTTCTCACTTGCTTCAGATGACAGCGTTCACCGGTGTCATATATTATACCTTCTCAGCAAGTTGAAAACATCTGTGTGAAAATGTGTCTTTGGTGTGATTATCCAATAATTCTGGATGGAAGTTTCCATCATCCTTGGTTTTAACTGGGAAGCAATGCCATAAACTCCTAATCTACATGTCACGAGAGACAGACACCTCAAGAAACTATCTGTTCTGTTCACGCCAGGGTGAAAGGAAATGAAAGAGCTGACAAATCAGCTGTGCAGTAGATAGTTGAGGAAGAAGTATGGACGGTGCAGACATACTGAAAGCGGAGCGTTTTAGAGAATTTGAAACAAAGAACGAAAATGAGGACAAGAGTGAAGAAATAGAGTACAGGGTAAAGAAAGAAGATATATCAGTTAACTCCTACTGGGTTCTTTAACCAGGGAGGCACTGAGGAAGCTGCTGTATCGGAGGACAGAGCACGAGAATGCAGCATGTTGTTTAACATTTTGTATTTGAAATTTGATCATGTGATAAAACTGATGTTGATGTTGTAGAATGTGATCTTTCATGAAAAAAAATAAAACACTAATTCAGCAGTTTTATAATGCCCAATGCACTGTTGGTGTCTTCTTCTTTGCATTCACCGGGTGTCTCTTCTGGTTTGCCTTCAGTGAACTAGTGAACTACTGCCCTAGCTGCTCCATATGCCACTGCTCTCAGAAGAAGAGATGAGATGTCAAGAACCTCTTCAAGATAAAACTCAAAACAATAACAAAGGCAGTACTAAAAACACAAAAATCAACAACAAAGTCAATTGCTAGCATCATTTAATGTATAATATAATGTAACAGATGGATATAGAAGCAAAAACATCTACAAAACATCAGCTGCCTTCCAGTTCCATTCTTTGTCTAACCAGATCTACAACATCAGCAGCAACCTCTGGTTTCAGCAGCTCTTTAACCTGAAAGTTTCCAGAAAGGAGTCAACATACATATATACATCATAAACAGTGGTGACTGTAGTCAAGCTGATTGCAAAAAATGCTGAATATAAGAAAATTGACTAGAAAGCTCAACGGAAAGAATGGAAACAACCAAACGTTTTGATCAAAGTCTTAATCAATGGAATATTAAATACAGCACAAACTGTGACTGGAAAAACTCAACGGACAAGATAAAGGAGCTAATTAAAAACCAAGGTTAACATAAAACCAAGAAGTACGCAATTAGGGGGAAAATATAAAAATGAAGGGCTATAATATGAAACGAAACAAGTAAGAAGAGGTTGAGAAAAAGGGATAAGTTCAATAAATGAACAAATAAATAAATACAATTAAATAAAGGTGTGTTGAATATTGAACCCTCCATAAGGATGCTAAAACTATGGATAAATATGGATACAGACTGTCCCTGTATTGTACTTCTTAATTATATGCTGAAGTTCTCTTCCTGCAACAAGGAGACCTAAGAGAAACTGTAGGATGAACGTTAGTATGATAAGACTGGACTGCATACACCAGGGGTTCCCAACTGGCTGGAACAAACATCAATTAAACAACAACAAACTCCATCTTCTTTTTTTTACTGGTAATTCTAATTATAATTTACTGGGTGTTTTTTTCACAACTGTTTTAACATATGCCAGTTAAATATGGAGAACCATATAAAGACAGGAACGAAAGTTAAATGCGTTTGAAAAGAAATGTCTGAGGAAAATTCTGAACAAAAAGTTGGATGAATTCAAGAGGAATGAAGAAATAGAAAAAATTAAGGACAACCACTAGTATTAACAGTTATAAGACAGAGAAGATGGTGCTATATTGGAGAAGAGACGATAGAGAATTGCAAAACAGGATTGAAATCGGAAAAAGAAGGAATGAGCCAATTACTTCCAAAAGAAACCCTAAGATGAATGTTGATGAGAGAGGCCAAAGGTGCTGGACTGGATTCCATCCATGGTATCAAAGTGATTGTACAGGACAGAACAAAGTCCGCTTACATCTGCCAGAGAGGCCAGAAATCAAGAGTCTGCATACAAATAGGCAAGATGTGTGAAACACATGTGCTCGCAACACTCCAGTTCTGGAACAAAAGTAAAGTAGAGATGGATGAACAGCAGAAGAAGAAATGTGAGCTCTGAGTTATACATAAGAATGATGATGATGATCAGATAAAGCAAGAATATCTCTACTCACTGAATACTTCTGGGAAGCTTCAAACGTATAGAGGATACTGGTGTCAAAGAGAAGCATCCTATGATCCGCCAGAGCTAGGATACAGTTGCGCAGCCGAGCAATGTTCTCTCTGTCTGCATGCGACACAGGCTGAAAATAAATATATCTTCTAACGTAGGCCCACTCAGAACAACAACAAATACAAAAAAACAATTAACATGTATACCATCATCATGCTGTGCCATTAACATGTCCTACAGGGTTTACAGTCTATTCCTCCATACTGCTCTGTCTTGTCCAATCCTTTCAATATTATGTCTGGTATCCTCTTTCTTTTCCCTAGTGTTCACAGGCTGAGACCTTCGGCCGAAAGTTCTAGTCATTCGTCCATTTCTAAACAAGTTTTTGTTTCAGAACTTGGGTTTTGTATGCACATCCGTTTTACAGATCTGGCTTATCTGTAAACAGACTGCTGGTCTGGTTTCTCACCTCTCAGGCGGTTACACTCCGACTTGGAAGGACAATAGTCGCCTTGTACGATATGTTTGTTAGGGAGGCAGTGGGTCCACCCCCCCCCCCCCACTCTCTAAAACAGAGCAGTAGAACCCATACGGGGGGGGGGAAACGGTATCTAGTCCAGCACCTTTGACCTCTCTCTCGTCAACGTCGTAAGTTGTAGGCTTTCTCTTGTATGTTTTCTTTTCCTCAGTCCACCTGTTTCTCATTTTCGTACTTGTTTAGTGATTCTCTGTCAATTTCTCCTCAGACCATGTCTAATGTACTGCCATCTTCTTTGTCTTCTAACTGTCAATACCAGAGGTTGATTAGACTTTCTCTTATTCCTTCATCTTTCTTGAATTCATTCCATTTAATGCATTGGAAACTTATGACTGATTTAAACCAACCCATGAGTGAGCTCATACAATGAATATCTTGAATCCTGAAACTATTTTTTTCCATACAAATTAATGTAAAAATTAATTCTTTTCAGCCGTAAAAAGAACATAACTATTAGTTCTTTTGTTTAAAAAAAAAAAAAAATATATATATATATATATATATATATATATAGATATATATATATATATATATATATATATATATATATATATATATATATATATATATATATATATATATAATACACATTTTCCCAGCTCTCTAGCGTAGTTGGCTAAACCGGACTAAACAGTCCATCATCATCAAGTGCCTTGTTGACTGGCTTTAGACCTCATACGCCAATGTTAACGTGACCTAATTCACTTGAGAGTTATCAAGATGCTGTTGGGTAACACAGACAATTCTTATCTCTCATCTCCATATCCTTGATTTTTCATATCCTTGATTTGGCCTCGGGGTAGGGGGGGGAAAAAGGGGGGGGGGGGGGGGGGGGGGGGCAGATTTATTTTACAGATCCTGACCAATATGAGCCCTGTACCAGTTGCACCAACACGTGTGGTTCAGCCCACCCTGCTCTAAGTTAATACCTGAAACCCTATGCAAAACTATCAAAACTTTCTTTAACCCTTTTTTTTTCAGATGTCTAGCCAAAAACATGGAGCATTTTTTCAGTAAATTTGGTTATTACTTCATTTTATTTTTTTGACACATTTCTTACATCCTGACCCCCATGAAATAATAGATTTATTTGAAGTATATATATTGAAGTTCATGATTTTCACAATGTCGTTAAAATAAATTGATGTATAGCAAATTATCTCATTTGTATATCTAAAAATAGAAAATCAGAATATGAATTTTCAACTTCAATGCATGAAACACATAACTAAAAACAAAAATATATTTTATTTGAAATCTTTTTATTGATCTTTGGCCTTTTAGCTTTTATGTTTTTCAAAACATTAGTGGTGAATTCAATAGTCAAAAACGGGTATATATACAAAACAGAAATAACATCTTTAGGTGGCATGTGTTTTGGACTAGTCAGCTCAAGAAATGGATGTGCCAAAGTGTCAACATCTTCAGGTGGATATCCCCTGAGCCATGGTTGGGCTGTGGTCTGATCAGAGTCCCCATCTGATTCCCCACTATCACTAACACTAGATCCTGCATCAGTATCAATAGAATTAGTGTCATCACTTGATTCAAATGTTTCATCAACATCAAGTTCAGGGACAGAAACATACGAGAAAGACATACTTTTAGCGCTTCAGGTCACTATCTAAAAAAATTCAACAACAATTTTCACTTCGACACCAAACACTCGAAAGTGGCCATGTGTAAAGCTAATACAGTAGTGAATATAAAATAATCACTTCCAGTGTTTAAAAATAGGAGATTTCTTACGGTGTCGAGGCGAAACACGATCGGGCCGATGATTGGGCGTTCCGTGTTTTTGGCCAGACTGCCGACGGCCGATAATCGGCCCATCCCTGCTAAGAGGGTTAAGTTAACAATTACCTGTAAATTGGTTTCATATCCACCAGTTTTCTCCTCCTCTTCATGTTCTGTAGGTGAAATCCATATGTAACCGTTGTTACCAAGAATGATTGCAGCCCCAACTGGCAAGTTATGAAAATGTGTTTTGCGGCGGAGAATTAAAGATGGTGGCACTCTCACTAGGACACCTTGACCCAACTGAAATAAAAAGCACAGATTTGAGAAACCTTTCCTGGCACAGGACTGACGTACAAGGAATTAATTAGAAATTAAATGTTGAAAAAAATCATCAACATGTTGCACATCCTTGTATAATGTCTGGACTGCTCAACAGACTCTTGGTTTTTCATTAACTCCACTGTCTTTTTCTTCTTATGTACTGCTTTTCAGTGTCATGTTTTGAAGAGGCATTGGGTGACAGCCTTGGCATGTTCAACGCAGATGCTAGTAATCACTGCCTCGGATCTTCTATCTATCGGTCGCTTGCGTGGTCAACCTCTAGCACTGCTTGCATTATGTCTGAATAACAGGGCTCTCTGTGGAGCAGTCTGTTGATAGTGTTGATGCATGTCCAAACAATTTTATCTGTTGTTTCTAGATGTAGTTTAAAACTAGTCCCTCTCAACTTCTTTCCTGACAACCACTGTGTCACTGTATCGAAACATGAGGTGACTGCTCTTGAGCTGATACAAAGATGATGAGAGCCCCCCCCCCCCCACAAAATACCGGAACCTTTTTTTGCGACTGCCACATTGGGCATATGAAACAAGATTCACATTTGTACAGATCAATCAGCACTTGATGGGTGATGTGGTCAACATCTTGGTGGCAGCCTTTATTTTCAGGACATTTCCTGGTACCCACTTTAGGCTGTGTCAACCTGACAGTGAGGTTTGAGGTTTGAACAACGGATCAACATGAAGGCACGTGGGTGGTAACCCATAAGTGCTCCGTTCTTCTTCTAACTCAAGTCTAAGTCCAAAGAAGCTCAGCACAGTGCACAGGCCCTGTAGCACCGGCAAGGATCCTAAAATACTTTTGGATAGATTTTAAATTCCAAATTTTGCCCGGGCAGCGCCGCAAGGTTACTCTTTTCGATTTCCAACTGCCAAGGGATTTTTTACGTGCGCAACAATACACACGGGCGTCTGATCTCACTACCCAGAGACCAGGGAGAATGACTAGAAATCCATGTCCAAATGAAAAAATCCCAGCCCTTACTGGGGACTGAACCCGAACCTTTAGCACTCGAGGGGGACACCATGCACCCCCAACCTGGCAGTAAAGAATGGTTAAATAAAGAAATACAACTAAGGAACTTAGCCACACACAAAAAAATGCAAACAGATAAACATGAAATAAATGTTTTATTTCGGTCCTTGTTAAAAACAAAGTAAAGGGCCCTGTTGTACCAGTAGCACCGGAAGTATATGGCACTAGACTCATATTTCTATAGACCAATCTGCACATGGTGGGCAATGTGGTCAGTCTCATGGTGGGTGATGTGGTCAGTCTCATGGTGGGTGATGTGGTCAGTCTCATGGTGGGGGATGTGGTCAGTCTCATGGTGGGCAATGTGGTCAGTCTCATGGTGGGCAATGTGGTCAGTCTCATGGTGGGCGATGTGGTCAGTCTCATGGTGGGCGATGTGGTCAGTCTCATGGTGGGCAATGTGGTCAGTCTCATGGTGGGCAATGTGGTCAGTCTCATGGTGGGCAATGTGGTCAGTCTCATGGTGGGCAATGTGGTCAGTCTCATGGTGGGCGATGTGGTCAGTCTCATGGTGGGCGATGTGGTCAGTCTCATGGTGGGTGATGTGGTCAGTCTCATGGTGGGCAATGTGGTCAGTCTCATGGTGGGCGATGTGGTCAGTCTCATGGTGGGTGATGTGGTCAGTCTCATGGTGGGTGATGTGGTCAGTCTCATGGTGGGCAATGTGGTCAGTCTCATGGTGGGCAATGTGGTCAGTATCATGGTGGGCAATGTGGTCAGTCTCATGGTGGGTGATGTGGTCAGTCTCATGGTGGGCAATGTGATCAGTCTCATGGTGGGCAATGTGGTCAGTATCATGGTGGGCAATGTGGTCAGTCTCATGGTGGGCAATGTGGTCAGTCTCATGGTGGGCAATGTGGTCAGTCTCATGGTGGGTGATGTAGTCAGTCTCATGGTGGGTGATGTGGTCAGTATCATGGTGGGTGATGTGGTCAGTATCATGGTGGGTGATGTGGTCAGTCTCATGGTGGGCAATGTGGTCAGTATTATGGTGGGTGATGTGGTCAGTATCATGGTGGGCAATGTGGTCAGTATCATGGTGGGCAATGTGGTCAGTCTCATGGTGGGCAATGTGGTCAGTCTCATGGTGGGCAATGTAGTCAGTCTCATGGTGGGCAATGTGGTCAGTATCTTGGTGGGCGATGTGGTCAGAATCATGGTGGGCGATGTGGTCAGTCTCATGGTGGGCGATGTGGTCAGTCTCGTGGTGGGCATTGTAGTCAGTCTCATGGTAGGCAATGTGGTCAGTATCTTGGTGGGCGATGTGGTCAGTCTCATGGTGGGCGATGTGGTCAGTCTCATGGTGGGCAATGTGGTCAGAATCATGGTGGGCAATGTGGTCAGTATCATGGTGGGTGATGTGGTCAGTATCATGGTGGGCAATGTGGTCAGTCTCATGGTGGGCGATGTGGTCAGTCTCATGGTGGGTGATGTGGTCAGAATCATGGTGGGTGATGTGGTCAGAATCATGGTGGGCAATGTGGTCAGTATCATGGTGGGTGATGTGGTCAGTCTCATGGTGGGTGATGTGGTCAGAATCATGGTGGGCAATGTGGTCAGTCTCATGGTGGGCAATGTGGTCAGTCTCATGGTGGGCAATGTGGTCAGTCTCATGGTGGGTGATGTGGTCAGTATCATGGTGGGTGATGTGGTCAGTATCATGGTGGGTGATGTGGTCAGAATCATGGTGGGCAATGTGGTCAGTCTCATGGTGGGCAATGTGGTCAGTCTCATGGTGGGCAATGTGGTCAGTCTCATGGTGGGTGATGTGGTCAGTCTCATGGTGGGCAATGTGGTCAATCTCATGGTGGGCAATGTGGTCAGTCTCATGGTGGGCAATGTGGTCAGTCTCATGGTGGGCAATGTGGTCAGTCTCATGGTGGGTGATGTGGTCAGTCTCATGGTGGGTGATGTAGTCAGTATCATGGTGGGCAATGTGGTCAGTATCATGGTGGGCAATGTGGTCAGTATCATGGTGGGCAATGTGGTCAGTCTCATGGTGGGCAATATGGTCAGTATCATGGTGGGCAATATGGTGGGCAATGTGGTCAGTCTCATAGTGGGCAATGTGGTCAGTCTTATGGTGGGCAATGTGGTCAGTCTTATGGTGGGTGATGTGGTCAGTCTCATGGTGGGCGATGTGGTCAGTATCATAGTGGGCAATGTGGTCAGTCTCATGGTGGGCAATATGGTCAGTATCATGGTGGGCAATATGGTGGGCAATGTGGTCAGTCTCATGGTGGGCAATGTGGTCAGTCTCATGGTGGGTGATGTGGTCAGTCTCATGGTGGGTGATGTAGTCAGTATCATGGTGGGCAATGTGGTCAGTATCATGGTGGGCAATGTGGTCAGTATCATGGTGGGCAATGTGGTCAGTCTCATGGTGGGCAATATGGTCAGTATCATGGTGGGCAATATGGTGGGCAATGTGGTCAGTCTCATAGTGGGCAATGTGGTCAGTCTTATGGTGGGTGATGTGGTCAGTCTCATGGTGGGCGATGTGGTCAGTATCATGGTGGGCAATATGGTGGGCAATATGGTCAGTATCATGGTGGGCAATGTGGTCAGTCTCATAGTGGGCAATGTGGTCAGTATCATGGTGGGCAATATGGTCAGTATCATGGTGGGCAATGTGGTCAGTCTCATGGTGGGCAATGTGGTCAGTCTTATGGTGGGCAATATGGTCAGTATCATGGTGGGCAATGTGGTCAGTCTCATAGTGGGCAATGTGGTCAGTATCATGGTGGGCAATATGGTCAGTCTCATGGTGGGCAATGTGGTCAGTCTCATGGTGGGCAATGTGGTCAGTCTCATAGTGGGCAATGTGGTCAGTATCATGGTGAGCAATATGGTCAGTATCATGGTGGGCAATGTGGTCAGTCTCATGGTGGGCAATGTGGTCAGTCTCATGGTGAGCGATGTAGTCAGTATCATGGTGGGCGATGTAGTCAGTCTCATGGTGGGCAATGTGGTCAGTCTCATGGTGGGCAATGTGGTGGGCAATATGGTCAGTATCATGGTGGGCAATGTGGTCAGTCTCATAGTGGGCAATGTGGTCAGTATCATGGTGGGTAATATGGTCAGTATCATGGTGGGCAATGTGGTCAGTATCATGGTGGGCAATGTGGTCAGTATCATGGTGGGCAATGTGGTGGGCAATATGGTCAGTATCATGGTGGGCAATGTGGTCAGTCTCATAGTGGGCAATGTGGTCAGTATCATGGTGGGTAATATGGTCAGTATCATGGTGGGCAATGTGGTCAGTATCATGGTGGGCAATGTGGTCAGTATCATGGTGGGCAATGTGGTCAGTCTCATGGTGGGCAATGTGGTCAGTCTCATGGTGGGCAATGTGGTCAGTCTCATGGTGGGCAATGTGGTCAGTCTCATGGTGGGCAATGTGGTCAGTCTCATGGTGGGCAATGTGGTCAGTCTCATGGTTGGCAATGTGGTCAGTCTCATGGTGGGCAATGTGGTCAGTCTCATGGTGGGCAATGTGGTCAGTCTCATGGTGGGCAATGTGGTCAGTATCATGGTGGGCAATGTGGTCAGTATCATGGTGGGCAATGTGGTCAGTCTTATGGTGGGCAATGTGGTCAGTCTTATGGTGGGGGATGTGGTCAGTCTCATGGTGGGCGATGTGGTCAGTATCATAGTGGGCAATGTGGTCAGTCTCATGGTGGGCAATATGGTCAGTATCATGGTGGGCAATATGGTGGGCAATGTGGTCAGTCTCATAGTGGGCAATGTGGTCAGTCTTATGGTGGGCAATGTGGTCAGTCTTATGGTGGGTGATGTGGTCAGTCTCATGGTGGGCGATGTGGTCAGTATCATGGTGGGCAATATGGTGGGCAATATGGTCAGTATCATGGTGGGCAATGTGGTCAGTCTCATAGTGGGCAATGTGGTCAGTATCATGGTGGGCAATATGGTCAGTATCATGGTGGGCAATGTGGTCAGTCTCATGGTGGGCAATGTGGTCAATCTTATGGTGGGCAATATGGTCAGTATCATGGTGGGCAATATGGTCAGTCTCATGGTGGGCAATGTGGTCAGTCTCATGGTGGGCAATGTGCTCAGTCTCATAGTGGGCAATGTGGTCAGTATCATGGTGAGCAATATGGTCAGTATCATGGTGGGCAATGTGGTCAGTCTCATGGTGGGCAATGTGGTCAGTCTCATGGTGAGCGATGTAGTCAGTATCATGGTGGGCGATGTAGTCAGTCTCATGGTGGGCAATGTGGTCAGTCTCATGGTGGGCAATGTGGTGGGCAATATGGTCAGTATCATGGTGGGCAATGTGGTCAGTCTCATAGTGGGCAATGTGGTCAGTATCATGGTGGGTAATATGGTCAGTATCATGGTGGGCAATGTGGTCAGTATCATGGTGGGCAATGTGGTCAGTATCATGGTGGGCAATGTGGTCAGTCTCATGGTGGGCAATGTGGTCAGTCTCATGGTGGGCAATGTGGTCAGTCTCATGGTGGGCAATGTGGTCAGTCTCATGGTGGGCAATGTGGTCAGTCTCATGGTGGGCAATGTGGTCAGTCTCATGGTTGGCAATGTGGTCAGTCTCATGGTGGGCAATGTGGTCAGTCTCATGGTGGGCAATGTGGTCAGTCTCATGGTGGGCAATGTGGTCAGTATCATGGTGGGCGATGTGGTCAGTATCATGGTGGGCAATGTGGTCAGTCTCATGGTGGGCAATGTGGTCAGTCTTATGGTGGGCAATGTGGTCAGTCTTATGGTGGGGGATGTGGTCAGTCTCATGGTGGGGGATGTGGTCAGTATCATAGTGGGCAATGTGGTCAGTCTCATGGTGGGCGATGTGGTCAGTCTCATGGTGGGCGATGTGGTCAGTATCATGGTAGGCAATGTGGTCAGTCTCATGGTGGGCAATGTGGTCAGTCTCATGGTGGGCAATGTGGTCAGTCTCATGGTGGGCAATGTGGTTAGTATCATGGTGGGCAATGTGGTCAGTCTCATGGTGGGCAATGTGGTCAGTCTCATGGTGGGCAATGTGGTCAGTCTCATGGTGGGCAATGTGGTCAGTCTCATGGTGGGCAATGTGGTCAGTCTCATGGTGGGCAATGTGGTCAGTCTCATAGTGGGCAATGTGGTCAGTCTCATGGTGGGCAATGTGGTCAGTCTCATGGTGGGCAATGTGGTCAGTCTCATGGTGGGCAATGTGGTCAGTCTCATGGTGGGCAATGTGGTCAGTCTCATGGTGGGTGATGTGGTCAGTTTCATGGTGGGCAATGTGGTCAGTCTCATGGTGGGCAATGTGGTCAGTCTCATGGTGGGCGATGTGGTCAGTCTCATGGTGGGTGATGTGGTCAGTCTCATGGTGGGCAATGTGGTCAGTCTCATGGTGGGCAATGTGGTCAGTCTCATGGTGGGCAATGTGGTCAGTCTCATGGTGGGTGATGTAGTCAGTCTCATGGTGGGCAATGTGGTCAGTCTCATGGTGGGCAATGTGGTCAGTCTCATGGTGGGCAATGTGGTCAGTCTCATGGTGGGCAATGTGGTCAGAATAATGGTGGGCAATGTGGTCAGTCTCATGGTGGGCAATGTGGGCAGTATCATGGTGGGCAATGTGGTCAGTATCATGGTGGGCAATGTGGTCAGTCTCATGGTGGGCAATGTGGTCAATCTCATGGTGGGCAATGTGGTCAATCTCATGGTGGGCAATGTGGTCAGTATCATGGTGGGCAATGTGGTCAGTATCATGGTGGGCAATGTGGTCAGTATCATGGTGGGCAATGTGGTCAGTCTCATGGTGGGCAATGTGGTCAGTCTCATGGTGGGCAATGTGGTCAGTCTCATGGTGGGCAATGTAGTCAGTATCATGGTGGGCAATGTGGTCAGTATCATGGTGGGCAATGTGGTCAGTATCATGGTGGGCAATGTGGTCAGTCTCATGGTGGGCAACGTGGTCAGAATAATGGTGGGCAATGTGGTCAGTATCATGGTGGGCGATGTGGTCAGTATCATGGTGGGCAATGTGGTCAGTATCATGGTGGGCGATGTGGTCAGTATCATAGTGGGCGATGTGGTCAGTATCATGGTGGGCAATGTGGTCAGTATCATGGTGGGCGATGTGGTCAGTATCTTGGTAGGTGATGTGGTCAGTATCACGCTGACCACAATGACTTCTCAGGGCATTCCCTGATACCAATTTTCTCTGTGGTGAAGTGGTCAAGCCATTTGTATTATGTTCTGAAAGTGATGGCTTTGTTTCACAACTGTATCATTCGGTTGATGAGTGGAGCTATGGTGTTCGCGCCTTGAGTGACGCTCTTGATTGGAGGCTTGGCCAGTCCGCCCAGAGAGACCAAGCCATACGGGATAAAACGTGATGCAATGAAGTTGAGCCTCTCAGCTCTAGCCTGTAACTAACTCAACGTTCGCTGCAGGACATCTGCCTGAAAGTCAGTACGAATGAGAAAGAACACATGCCCTTAATCTACAAAAAAACTTACCTTCCCATACTTGAGACTGCGTGTGTGCAACGAGAGGCAACCGTCAGACATGACATTCTGCACCTCTGCCTGCAAATGAGGAAAAGTTCACACAGGTCAAAGTTTGTGTGTGACAGGAACACAGTTAGTTGGCACGGACAGCAGCTGCTCCCTGTCTTTCCAGATGACAATATTATATTATGCGGTTGGGAGGCAGAGGTGTCACAGCCGTGACAATAGCAAGTGCCACTAGCAAGACCCACTCATGTTGAGAAGTCTTACTATTTAGGGCCAGGAATGACGTTTTACTTCAAGATCTTGAAACCCAGGCTTTACAATCTCGAGTGGATCAGTCAGTTATGATGGTTTGGACATGTATGCAGAATGAGAGAAAACTGGCCAACATGGCTGGCATGGGAGGCTAAGAACCAGGGAACCAGACCTGCAGGGCGACCCAGGGTTCACTGGGAAAACAACATCCGACAGTCCCTGGCTGACAGAGGACTGGAATAAAACAAAGCCAGAAAGAAAACAGCAGAGAGAAAAGTCTGGCGATCTCTCTGGCAAACCTCTACACCCCAAGGTAGAAGAGGAGCGACTAAGTGAAGTAAAGTATAGTAGATGAAGTTCCTCCTCACCACATGTCAAGACCGGGCAGTCTTAAAGAGACCATGTGTTATAAAAACAAGACAACTGCACAGTAATGTTAACAGATTATTTGTGCTTCTCTCAACTAGCAGCATGATTCTTTGTCAAAATGAAAATTTTCTCATCAAATGCAAAAGGTTGATAAAAGGATGACAAAAGTCACTAACAGTGAATATACCAATAGATATGAATGTTTATCATTAAAAATCAACTGCTAATGTGGCGGTCTGGAGTTTAACATTGTATTCTTTCCTGATCTGGGGTAAGGAGATTAGATGCCTAGATTCTCAGATAAAGGTGAAACACCAGGAGCCACATTAATGTTATACACTAAAAAAACCTCATTAACATGTACTCACTGAAGAAGAACACCGTTAACATGAAACAACTATGGTCCAACCACTGATGTATTGTTGTTATTACCTCCCGATCAGCCCAGTTTTTTTAAAACAAACTCAGTTTTTAGACCTTTGGAATTTATGTTGCTGGTTTTTTACCGTACATGTTAAAAATCCCTTAGCAGTTGAAAATCAAAAATAGTAGATCTTTCCTTGGTAGGCGGCGTCCGTGGCTAAGGCGTTGCGAGTCCGACTCGTGAGCCAGCATACCGCGATCGAAACCCACTGCAGGCTGCGTGGATTTTTGTCGTGGTATGGGACGTCGCAGGTCGACCCAGCCTAAAATGGGTACCAGGATGGGCTGTCCTGGGAAAGTAAAGACAGCCGGCGTAATGCTGACCACATTACCCACATGCTGATGGTCTGTAAAAATATGGGACGCTCTGCCCATATGCCAGATGCGCCGAAAGGCGTGAAAAGGGATCTTTACTTTACTTTTACTTTCCTTGGTAGGTAGTGGCAAGAGACCATGGCTGATGCCATCTTCATTATCTAGACTAGCGTCTGCTTCCAGGATTTTCCGCAGTGAGGGGCAAGTCCAGTCCAGTATTTTAATATTTATAATAAAATGTTGGTTCAAATAAAACTTCTGCTTGATTTCAGACAGGAAATTGACAAGGATAGTACCTTCTGTGTTATTTGTCCGAAGAACAGGCAAATGCTGAGACTAGTCAAAGTTTTAACAATAAAAATGAACAATCCTCTTTTATGTAAACAGAAGGAATTTGTTATAAATTTCAAGTTATTATAGCAAATCATGTGACTATTGTGAACCTCCAGCAATCAGACGAACAGTGTATCAAGGCAGAGTATGTGATGTGAATTTCAGTGGAATTAATTTACTTTTTGTTTTTCATCATTTGTCTATGTAAGTATGTTGTAATGCACCCAACGAGACACCGCAAATTAAACAATGATTCCAAAATGCTAATTTTTAAGTTACTGAAAACCCCAGTTTCAAGCAGGAAAGAATGCAGCAACCAATGTATTTATTTCCGCTTCTTCCAAGTACTTGCCATGCAGCAAAATTTCACTGTCCTCTCTTATTGTGTCAAGACAATGTCCTTTATATTTTTATCTACTGTCTAGTCATCCACCCTTTTGGCCCAGAAATGCTAACAAAAAAAAATGGGTTATGAACAAGTAGGAATTTCCCGGAAAAAAAAAATCATTCATAAAAACAACTTTTATATCATCATCATCATGTAGCAGGTCATTTGCAGAACGTCGCTCTCATCACGGTCTGCCTGAAAGAAACTCGGTCTCTCGTCAGTTCTTCCGCCTCATGCATTTTCACACTCAAGGAGTCACTTATATCCTGTGCCCATCTTCGTGTCGCGTCGGCCCCTGCCCCTCCTTCCTGGTGCCATGCCTTCTGCTATATTTTTTCCAATCCGTCGCGGCGCTTGATATGACCCAAATATTTCAGCTTTCGAGAAAGGATGCTGTTCATTAGCCAATCTTCCTTGATGTTTAGATCTTTTAAAATGTCAATATTTCTCATCTTCCTTGTCCAAGATATTCTGAGAATCTTTCTATAGCATTTCAGCTCAAAAGCCCCTATTCTCTTTCTTGACTGAGAGATAGTCCACGACTCACATCTGTATGTAGCCATAGGGAAGATGCATGCTCTCAAAATTCTAATTTGTATCTCCTTGCTGGTGCCTAAGACTTTTAAAGCTGTTCAATCTTAGTCGTTATATACGTTATATAGGTAATAATAACAGACAGATAACTATTAAAAGCTAAATCAATCCTATCTTGATATAAGGAAGTGTATTATGGATAGTTTGTAGATTAATTAAAAATGTTTTCAAAGCTGCAGAGATGTTTTATAGACGAATGATGAGAAGAATACCATGGACAGATAAAAAAGTCTTGAAAGAGGCTGGTTCACAAAGAGAACGGATTGCCCACACCAGAAAGAGACAATCTACATTCTTTGGTCATGTGATGCGAAGGAGAAAATTGGAGTACATCGTGACAGTAGGAAAGTTGGAGGGGAAGAGAGGCAGAGGAAGAGCGAGAGAGAACATGCTGGACAGTCTGATATCCTGGCATGGAGGATCATCTGTATCAGAGTTGACTGAAAGTACACAAGACAGGCTGTGGACAGATACGACTATGAAGGCCATTCAGCATGGACTTACTTCAAGAAAAAGAAAAACTAAAAACTATTTCAATTATATATTTACCTACATTTCTAAATTTTTTATTTTTTTTTATTTTATTTATATATAAAGATATATAAAGGGGTAATCAGTAAACATGAACAGGAGTAAAGAAAGCATTAAACTGAATACATTTCCCCAGGCACCTAAAAAAAATTGTATCAGGTCACTCATGCTGTGACCTATATCACTGAGGTTTACGGGGAAAATATTACATCAATTTTGCTTTAAAAAAAAACAACACTGGGGTCATAAGAAAACCCACAAATTCTATTTTTAGTTAACTGTCTACTGAACACAGTGCAGACACAAACTGGACCAACGAAATTACTACATTTTTCAAAAACAGGTTAGTGCGGACATGGTCACATATCGTCATTTACAAGAACCTGGCACAAGAAGGAAGTGACTAGATTTCGGTTTCTTGAGGCAAAAGGGTAACATTTTCAAAAACTCTTTCTATCATCTAGGTCTTGTATTTTCCGAACTAAAGATATTTCTCTGTTATAACTTTTTCTATTAATATGCTCCATACATTTTTTACATCTTTTCTTTGATAAGTGATTATCAACAAGAAACCAGTGACAACTTACACTGATAAGATCCCCTTCTTTCAGATACAGTCTCATCATTTTCTCGTCTTCTTCTGACCTTCGTCGCTTTTGGAAAGAAAAAAAAACACATTTCAATTCATTAAACTCAAGTGCATTTTGAAATATAACACTGTATTACAATTAAGCAGAACAGCAAAAACTGTATACAGAAAAAATAACCACTCTTCATCTCTTTGTGCACGTGGACTGATCAAATATGAATTACAAACTTGAATAACAATTAACAATCTTAATTTACCAACTGGAGTACAGACCCTTAGACAACTGACTCCAAATCACCCTGTCATTAGCCACCCCTCCTCCAAGTGTCCTCCCTACACTGTTCATCATTTTTAAGTATCTTCTCCTGTGTTCCTAAGTCATTACATTTTTTTTCCCTGTGTGGGTTCTGGGACCCCCATTTGATTTGGGGAAGGGGGGGGGGGCCCATACCAGCTGCCCCCTCAACAACACAAAAGGTGGCTAATCAGGGGTGTTGCCTTCCAAGGCACTATGCATCCACCGGAGAGGCGAGAAACCAACAGTCTGCATACAAATAAACCATCTGTAAATGTGCACACAATTCAGGTTCTAGAATAAAAGAAATAGGCAAGCAACTGGAACTTGTCACTACAGTTTACAGCTGGAAAATTCTAAAAAGAAGAATAAGAAAGTATGCCAGATCTGTAAAATGAATGTCCAGAAATTCCTACGGGTTTATGGCACATTTTTTAAAAATCATTAACAGTGTAAAAGGGTAAAATCATGATGATAATGATAACACTAAAACTTACCAACTCTCCACCAGGTAGATTGACTGATGACAGCATAAGAATGGAGTCCATTCGAGAGTGAGTTTCTACCCGCCACCTTTTCTGTGCAACTTCAATGACACGACCAATGACAACATCGCCAATTTCTCCATTGTACCTTGAAAATATATATATGGAATAATATACCACAATTCTGAAAACCACAGAATCAATAAAACTGGCTTTCCACAGCACAAGGATAGGATTCATATTAAAAATAATGATTTCCTCTGGACACTGGGTTGAAGTCTGTCAAAGTTGAAGGCTCAAGAGTTGACAATGCTGGTGCAGAAGTTAAAGTTAGTTTTTTGTCCTTTATAGGATATTGTAGAACCAATCTCAGCATTTTTTGTCTGTTTATAATTTCACTGGGCAAATTTAGTTACGTAGTTTGCCAGTGCTTTTTGAATGATCGCCTCTCGATACCACTGCCGAGGCGAACACATGGCAATGTGTTGCAAAATCGTCCACAGTTTGGATCAAATCCGGCACCCCATAATTTCAAAGTGCATTCGCGACGCTTAAGCCACATACACCGATAGAATTACACAGACTAAATACTAGGTCTTGCACATCGGTCGAAAACAGAATCTCATTTGAAGCTGTAGCAGTCCAAAGGCCCCTGCTGATTTGTGTGCAAGCTGACAGTTGTGCAGGCAGATAGGTGTGCAAGCTAATATGTGTGCAAGCTGACAGTTGTGCAGGCAGATAAGTGTGCAGGCAGATAGGTGTGCAGGCAGATAGGTGTGCAGGCAGACAGTTGTGCAGGCAGACAGGTGTGCAAGCTAATATGTGTGCAAGCTGACAGTTGTGCAGGCAGATAGGTGCGCAAGCTAATATGTGTGCAAGCTGACAGTTGTGCAGGCAGATAGTTGTGCAGGCAGATAGTTGTGCAGGCAGATAGTTGTGCAGGCAGATAGTTGTGCAGGCATATAGTTGTGCAGGCATATAGTTGTGCAGGCAGATAGTTGTGCAGGCAGATAGTTGTGCAGGCAGATAGGTGCGCAAGCTGACAGTTGTGCAGGCAGATAGTTGTGCAGGCAGATAGTTGTGCAGGCAGATAGTTGTGCAGGCATATAGTTGTGCAGGCAGATAGGTGTGCAGGCAGATAGTTGTGCAGGCAGACAGGTGGGCAAGCTAATATGTGTGCAAGCTGACAGTTGTGCAGGCAGATAGTTGTGCAGGCAGATAGGTGTGCAGGCAGATAGTTGTGCAGGCAGACAGGTGCGCAAGCTAATATGTGTGCAAGCTGACAGTTGTGCAGGCAGATAGGTGCGCAAGCTAATATGTGTGCAAGCTGACAGTTGTGCAGGCAGATATGTGTGCAAACTTATAGGTGTGCAGGTAAGGATACTATTAAGTATGTAAAAGCCATGGACCAAGCTAATTTACTGAACGCTCTACGAGAAGTAAGACATCTGCAACAGCCAAGTGACTGTGAACATGAATAGACTACAAGAACTCAAGTTAAAAGGAATGTGGCCAGACACTTTATAGGAAGTAAAACAAGTATGAGAAACCAACACAGAACTGGTGTCATCAGCCACTACACACTGCAGGATTTACTCAGGAGGAATCCGAGCACTTATGGACTGAATCACTGAATGTGCACTGAGGATAATCTGTCAACTAACTATCAACATTCACTGATTTATAACTAATAACATTTACTTTCCAGTCACCATAACTCCCTTCTCCATCAGACACTCTAACTTACCTAGTTTTCAGGGGTCGCACTGAAATTAACCTGTTGACTCTTTCAACAGTACCAGCTACAGAGGCATGTAAACATTCATCTTCCATGTAGGTTCCATGGCCTCTAGAAAAAGATATTGAAACATGTTTTTCACAAAAATTTTTATCAACAATAGCAAATACTGCTAACAATAAGACTAGGAAGTACTTATCTTTCTGACTCTCCCTGCCGATAAACTAAAAGTAGACGCAAGGAAGAGGGACTGTTCAAATAACTCAAATGTGATTGTGGCATATTTCTTACAACTTGAAATGTACACTGACATGTTCATATATTATTACTACTACTACTGACCTAATCTCAAATAATAATAATAAATAGTCATGTCAAAACAACACTATGACATGCTGGTATGATTTATAATAATTTATTCAGTCTCCTGTCCACCGTGTTCACCCTTTTCTTGACTAAGACTTTGATGCCAATGAATAGCTGATTACTAAGTATAAGTATATTAATTGTTATTGCTTCCCCGTGTGGGTTCCAGGGCCCTACTATGGGAAAAACAAGAATAGACCCATTGCCTACCCAAAAGCATGTCATAAGAGTCAACTAATTGGCAGCTTCCTTCAAAGTCGGAGTGCATCTGCCTGAGAGGCAAGAAACCAACAGTCTGCATACAGATCTGTCAAATGGATGCACACACAACACCCAGGTTCTGGAACAGGACTGCAGTCCAGAAGTGGACGAACAACCAAAACTCTCCGCCGGAGTTTACAGCCGGTGATCGAGAAAAAAAAATTGTCATTGACATAATCTAAAACTAAAAATGAGTGAGGAAATGTTACAGGAAGTAAAGTCAACTTTGTTTATGCAAATTAATTTTCCATTCCTATCAAATGAAACAAAATTATTAAAGTGCCTATGTCCATGGCCACTTAAGTGGTGATCTGTCCAAATGTGATAGATTCAGAAGCCACTAAAGTGGCGATTCATCCACAAAGTCAAAGAGTTAACCACACCAACCACAGGGTGGGATTTAGTCAAACACCAAAAATCCAATACATATTATAATTTAAATTTTATATGCAACATCAGTGAAGCAGAAGCGAGTTCTTTCACTGTTATTAACTTTGGCTCTACTCCAAACTACTAACCCATATTATGGCGGCTAAACAAATACCCTAAAGGGCCCCAGTCATGTGTAAAATGTGGACTTCCTGCAACAAACACATCGTGGCAAAACTAGGATTAGTTGACAATTTCAGGAGATGCAACACTGCAGACGATAATAGCAACCACTGACAATTTCGAGTGTTTCTGCAAACGATACTAGTCACCATTGACAATTTTGAGACACGCAACATTACAGACGATAATATGGAGAAGGTGGGGAGATCATGCACTCCAGCGCAGATTAGCAAAAGTGTTCTTCCAATTAAACTCACTGCCGAGCGTATCCCCTGCGCCGCTACGCGAGGCGCGGATGGGGATCTAAACTAGAAGCCTGGGACTCACGAGCAAATAAATTGGAGAAAGTTGCAGGAGATGCAGTAGCTGTTGCTGCTTGTGAGTCGGTGCCATCTAGTTTAGAACCCCCATCTAAGCCGCTTGTAGCGCCGCAGGGGATACTTGGCGGTGTGGCATAGTCGCAGAAACAGGTCCGAAATAATTAACATATGGATGAGACCCTGTTAGAGCATTTGTTTCGTTATTCCTAGTTTTTCCGCGATTTGTTCCTCGGCAGAAAGTCAGCATAGGACTGAGGCCCTGTTAGGGTATTTGTAATTGTTTGGCCGCCATAAGACTTTAAGAGGGTAGAAGAGAGGAGAGCCATAACTTTATTCCTCTTCTTCTTCCTTAAGTTCCTTCCTGTTCACTGGTTGTAAACTTCGGCAGTTCTGTTTGTTACAGAATCCTATTTTGTGTACCCACCAATCCATCTTTTTTACTTTTATTTTCAGTGTTTACAGGTCTTACTTATTTATTTAGGCTTTTCAGGTGACGGTTTGGTTCCTTACTACCTCTCACCCAGATGCATTTCCGACTTCGAAGGAAACACCCTAATTAACAGACATGTAGCATGTACGACAAGCTTGTTAGACGGTTGTGAGCCTATTTTATTCTTCTCTCCCCCCCCCCCCCCTTTCCGCAGAATTATTAGAAAGAGCCCAGAAACAGAAAGCCACACGGAAAAACTCAAGTATATCGAAAAAAGGGTAATATCAATATCTGGACTAAGACTACATGTGAACACTTACGCGTGAAGCAATAATAATTATAAATTACCTCATAAAGCCAGTATCTGCAGTGATAATATCGCCAGGCGTAACAATGTTGCCTGGGTTCTCGCCGTGGTACAAGTCGGCCCCTGATGGGCGAGCACTTGCAAGTCTGATATCCACCGACATATTTACAGCAACACGAAGAAATATAGGAGCAATGTTGATAGTTTATGTATGCTGATTTGATTGTGCCTACTAACTACCAGTTAGGCGTGCTCGGTAAAGATTCAAATAGTCGCTTAACAATTTTATTTAATTCACAGGGTCTTCGATGTTATTTAAGGTTATCACAATCGACGCCTCTGCACATTAGCCATTCCAATGTGTGCTCAGTCCTCCGATGCAGCAGCTATTCTAGTGTACCTCTACTGCGAAGTTGGTTATTTTATCTTCTGTCTTTACCTCGCAGATGCCACAGACGTGCTTCGCCAAGTTTAACTCTTCGGTTACACAACCGCGTCCATACTCCTTCCCGATTGCACCAGTGCATAACTTGCCTAATGGCCAGCCCTTTCCTTATCATTTACTCCTGCGTGGACATCGAGGTGTTTCGACATGGAGATTTATCATCGTCAGTCAGTAGATTCTTTACAGAACTTTGCCCTCGTCACGCACGTCTGAAAGTCTTTCTCTCGTTAATCAACTCTCCAGCCCTATGTGCCTTTAGTCAATGCATATTCAATGTCTTTCGTTTCCCGGAAACTGTACCCCCCCCCCCCCCGCAACCACCGATCTCTCCAGGCCACCAAGACGTTCAACCTTGGCTTTCATGACAGGATGCTGTTTATGAGCCAGTTCTCTTCGTCGCTGATAATGTATGATGTCTGTGTTTTTTTCTTCTTCTTACTTTGTCGGCGTCCGTTTCTATGTTCTAGTGCTTTATAATGTGATAGTCTCCCCTCACATTCCAGGCCTACATGGTTGAGCCTCTTAACCTTCAGCAGGATAAGTGAGTACCCTGCTCTGTGTTGCTATTGCTAACAGCAGATAGCAGTGCATATGTGACCTTGAGGTTACGGCCATCAGTTTCAACCATTCCTGTTATAGGGGGTTCTGGGGTCCTATAATGAGGAAATAAGAATAAACCCACTGCCTCCATAACAACCGTGTTCAAGAGTCAACTAATGAGGGGTTTCCTTCGGAGTCGGGCTGTATGTACCCTAGAGGCAAGGAACCGATAGTTGTCGTACAAATGTGTCAGATCTGTAAAATGAGTGTGCAAGCAAGTCACTGAAGAAGACCACAAGTTGACAAACAAACCAAAACGCTCCATCGGAGTTTACAGCCGGTGAACGCAAAGGTAAAAAAAAAAAAGAGTGTCTAATGGGATCTTTCTCACATAACGGCGGTAACATAAACACATAATTAGTTAGTTGCGCATCCTTTACAGGACGTTGCAGAACCAACACCGGTAGTTTTTAAAAGCAAAATGTGAGTTGTGACCCCTGTCGCAATATGTCACTCCTATCTGTTATCCTGTAGTATACTCTTCGTGCATCATATGTGACTCTTGAGTTTCTATTGTCAAGACGTGTCATTGGACGCTACGAAAAGAAACACTTCTTGCTCACATTCCAAAATTCACTGCAATTCAAAGAATAGGCTGACAGTAACATTTCAGTACTCTTTTTCTAATTTTCAATGAGAGTGATTTATTACATAAGATACTTTTCATCTTCTAAAATACTGTCTTTGCATGGCCAATTCTGCTTTTAATTTCTGTTCACACATCATCCATCTGTTATTTCAAATGCCCCAAATACCTGATTTTTGTTTGTTTGGTTAAGCTCTTTCCCTTTCAAGTTTAGCATAGCTGTCTGAAAACCACTGGCAAAGGGCAGGTCACTGTCAGATCTTGACGACAGACATGGATTGCAGAAAAGTAGCATCTTGCAGCTTTAAGTGTGTCCTGGTGGTTTTCACGACGAATTAATTTAATGCAAATTACTTATTATATGTTGAGTAAGTATTTACTAGGCTGCATTCGTTTTGTATTCTTTGGAAGTCAAAATATATTTCTGGGACCTCCAATAAAAAAAAAATAACTCAACTACCTGCTCATCTCCTAACTAACTGTTGGACCCATTTTCCGTCTCTTGCTCTTGCTTTCTATAACATATTGTCTCACTCTGACTCTCGCCAGTCTCTTAATGCTATTAATATTGTCTGCTAGTTGCTCACCTGCCTTTAAAATTTCCTCTAGCTCGCTCGAGCAAAATCAAATGATGCATCCACTTTTTAGTACGAGAGTCTGATTCTTGTTGCTACCCAAATTAGTTGTTAGTTTCCAAGAGTCAAGACACTCAGCTCGTAGAATGTTGGTTTGCTTGCACCAGATAAAAGCTAGCAAATACACCAGTATGTAATGTCATTACTAGTGACCAAGTTACTTGGACGGAACCAGAGTTCACACCCTTTCTTCACTACCCTCTTTTGAAAATCAGATTCCTAAAGTTTTCATGGTTAATGTATTTTCTTTCTTCTACCCTAAGTTCCATGCTGCAGATAGATATCCCTCCCCCCCCCCCCCCCCCCCCCCCCCCCCCCCGCCCATTTATCTCTTGTGATTGGCCTTCTCTTTCCCAATTGTGTGCATGTGATACATCCTTGCATTGCCGACTATAACAGATAGGCTAAAGGTGCTGCAGGCTAAGTCATACCTCGGAGTAGCTGCAGACAAGGATCACCCTGTGTATGAAGCTTTGGATACAGTTACGTGTCAGAGGCTGAAAAGGGGAAAATCATGGATGGCTCAAGCAGAAGATACAATAAGACAAGTATGCATGCTGATGAGCAGTGGGTTAGGAGAGGAGTGGTCAGAGTACCAGAGGAAACGTCTGACCTATGTAGGGCCATGATCACATTAGGCAGGGAGTGGCCAGCGAGGGCTACTGAGGTGGAAGTCCAACAATTGATTCATGACAATTCATGCCCAGGTGATCTGTTTATCTACACATATGGTTCTGTGCTGAGAGAGGAGAGAAGTGCCTGGTGTTAATAATGAAAGCCAGTGGAAAAACTTTAGTGTAGGACAGCCTGGCATATGATACCACAACATCTAGCATGAGAGTGGAGGTGGTCACTGCAGTTTGCTGGTGGCTAGACAACAAGATACATACACATGTCAAAATTGTAATGGACTCTGAAAGACTGCTGAAAAAGGGGAAGACAGGATTGCTTTGCGTAGAGTAGCTAGCTTGACTTGCAAGGTCACGGGTAGTGAGCATACTTTGGATCTTTTCTTCGTGCCATGCCGGCGGGGGGGGGGGGGGGTGGGGGGGGGGGGGGGGGGGGGGGGGGGGGGGGGGGGGGGGGGGGGGGGGGGGGGGGATGAACAGGCAGACAGATTGGCTGGATCTGCACTGCTGGGTGGTGAATTGATACATGAAAAGGCAGATGTGGTGAGAGCCCTTTGGGAACAAGTAATGAAGTCAGAAGAGAAACTAGATTATTTTAAACTGGAAAGAATGATGCACCTGGGTGTGACCAGAGGGTTTGGCAGGCACAGTACGCTCAGAGGAAAAGCAAGACGGACATATAACCAGACTATGACCGGCACCATTAGTATTGGAACTTTGCGCTGGCTGCTGAAGATAAGGACGGAGCATGCATGTGCTGTGATGTCAGTTCCTGACTCAGCTCAGCATTCTCTTTCCAGTTGGTGACTCAACAATAATCCTGAAATTCTGTCAATCAATATCTACCAAATTCAAGGTCCAGCTTTCTCTTTCAGGACAAAATTAGATGTTATAATGGTAAGACCATTATCATTTCCCTCAGGTGGCTGCCCTCAGACCTGAAGCACCAGGTTATCTCTGGTCTTTTTTCTTTGACAGAACCTCATGTTTTATATATAATGTGTATATATTAATTACTTTATATTTATATTGTCCTTTAGAAAATTTGATGATAGCAAAGATATGAACTTTTATTATTGCTTCTCTTAACTCTTTGAGTCCCAGGGGGTTTAGCATCACAGGCCCAGGGGGTAGTAAAGAAAATAATAAAATCGGCGCATCATTCGTTCATTGGGCTTTTATGTAGGAACCTACAAAGGTAAGATGCGTTCCTTGGGACTCAAAGAGTTAATCATTGTATAGTATTTATTCACTTTCCTCAATATTTCCCTGTTTTGTAAGAGAGAGCTATTTTTCACACCCAGCTGGGGGACATTGTAAGGGGTGTTTGTTATATCTCCCTATGATTATATATTGTTACAGCAGCAGTTAAAACTGGACATACCGAATGGTAATGTGTAGTAGTAGTAGTAGTAGTAATTTTCACAAAACAAATATCCCATTCAACCCTTAGCATTATAATTGGGGAAATAAAGTGTTCATTTAGTTTTTAGTGTTTTTTTGTTTTTTTTGTATGTACAACATGTAATCATTTACTTAAGTCAGCTGCGTAAATTTATTTTTTTAAGACAATGTCCTGTTGACGCCTTTTGGGTTGTGATTATGATAGAAATGGTACACTGAATGTTTAGATAATCTTACTGACATTATGTAATGTGAATTTATTATGCCCTTCCTATAGTTATTGAGAAATGTGGAGAGCGTAATGTGATAATTTGCTAATATGAAGGGAGCTTCAAAATGTTCTATACATTAGAGTCCTATGTAGTCACTTCACAGTTAGAGCCTATTTGTGTATGTGTACTGTGTTGTCCTTTATGTGCTGATGAAGGCTAATCGCCGCAACGTTCTTTGTTTGTTTATTGTGATCGATTTTGTAAAGCTAACATAAACTAATTGTTGTTTCTTACCAACTTTTTCTCTTCCCTATAAAAATTAAACATTGATGGGAAAGATCTAAGAATAATAAAGAATATGTATTGGCAGCAAACAGCAGCTATAAGAATTAACAACTGTTTAGGTACATTTCAAAGCATAAAGAGGGGCGTACGACAAGGATGTGTTTGGTATCAAAGAAACAAATTATTCCTAAATGTGTAATAAAAGTCAATGGTGTTATTTTAAGACAAGTACAGAAATTTAAGTATCTGGGCACATGGATAACATCAGATGGAAGATGCATAACTGAAATAAGAAACAGAATTGGACAGGCAAAAACTGCATTTTATAAAATGAAAAACATCTTGTGCAATATATCCTTGTCATTGAGAGTTAGAAAAAGAATTCTTGCTTGCTACATACATCCAGTTTTAACATATGGATGTGAATCCTGGACAATCGGTAGGCAGGCCAAACAATTTTTAGAGGCCTCAGAGATGTGGTTTTACAGAAGAATGCTTAGAATACCTTGGACAGCCAAGAAGAGCAACCAAGAGGTTTTAAAAGAGGCGGGAGACCGAAGACAACTTATCACTGACATCAGAAGGAGACAGTCATCATTTTTCGGCCATGTTATGAGAAGAGGGAAAATAGAACATGTTGTGACCACTGGAAAGATCTGTGGAAGGAGGGATAGAGGAAGACAACGAGAGAAGATGCTTGACAGTCTTGGTGCATGGCATGGAGGTGTGTCGGCACACGAACTGATACATGCTGCAGGAGATCGCGGATTATGGGGAGGCATGATCGCCCACGCCAGTCGGCAAGGCACCTGATGATGATGATGATGATAATTTTCTACTCCTTATAAAAACTAGGGAGGGGTAGAGTGGTCACTTGGTCCTTTCCAAGTTAACAGTCAGTGGGATTGTTGGTTGGCTGTGTATAATGCCAGTCTTATAAGCAAGCCCAGATATTGGTTAATGGCATATCCTTTAGGTATGCAAAGAATGCAAATAAAGCATGTTACAAGGAGAAGTGAAATCAAGAAGGGAATAGGGATAAAGAAGACAATGATTGCATATAGAATAGAAGCTGGCTATCTAAGAAAGCACATTAAATGCACGCTTTGTCAACAATAATCCTGAAATTATTTACATCTAATTGTGGGCGATTATTTACATCTAATTGTGGGCGATTATTTACATCTAATTGTGGGCGATTATTTACATCTAATTGTGGGCGATTATTTACATCTAATTGTGGGCGATTATTTGGCTTTGGTAAACAGTTAAATGTTGAGCAGTTTCAGAATGGTACAGTGCTATATTGTTGTGAAAGTCAGTCCACTGCAATAAAATAAAAACGAAGGCTCCCCTTTTTCTTAAACCCTTTTAGCGCAACAGGCATATATCCTTGACCAATATTTGTATTGACCAGACAGTTTTAAATGGGTGATGTGGTCAGCATCATACCGGTCACCTTTACTTCCCAGAACATTACCTCTGTGTCCATTTTAGGATGGGTCGACCTGGAAGCTAAGGTCAGTTTTGAAAGTTTGAAAGAAAAAATCCCAGTGTGGGTTCTGGGGCCCCATTGGGGGGGGGGGGGGGGGGGGGGAGATAACAAGAATAGACCCACTGCCTGCCAAAAAGCATGTCATAAGAGTCAACTAAATGGGAGCTTCCTTTAGAGTACATCTGCCTGAGAGGCAAGAAACTTAACAGTCTGCATGCAAATGAGTCAGACCTGTGAACAGGATGTACACGCAACACTCAGGTTCTGTAACAGGACTAGAGTCCAGAAGTGGACGAACAACCAGAACTTTCCACCAGAATTTACAGCCTGTGAACAAGAAGAAGAAGACGAAGAAAGAAAAAAGTCTTCCTTACGTCGGATTTGAATCATCCAACACAGTAAGTATTTGTTATTTCAGAGCCAACAAAGAACTATCACATTTTAATAATTTTTATGTATTTTATACTCTGTTCTTACTTTAAATGAGAAAAAAAGCATTTCTTTTACAGAAAATGTCCTGTCCGATGCTTCGATCATTGTGTAGAAGTACACTGAAAAGTGTGCTACTTAAAACCCATCACTGTAAACAGTTTGTCAAGTTGAGGTCATCGTTGGGAAGTGCCAGATTTGTAACAACAGATGAATCTGACAAGCCTGATGTTCAGAAAAGGATACCAAGAGCAGGTGATAAATTGTGTTTTATTTGGGACAGAAGAAAAGATCTAGTTTGCATTAAAAAAAAATCTTTTTCTCAAAGAAATCATTTTGTTGTGAAATACTGAAGTGTAATAATGGGAGTTCTATGGCTAACCACAAGGAAGCAAATCAGAGACAGCATTGTGAGGGCATGCCTCTTTCGTATTGTAAAATAAAAATATGAGTTGTGGGCTGTCTCACGATCATTAACGCTTTCAACCCGTAAGAAACTTTTTAAAAAAGTACGTTCCAAAGTTTTATTGTTTTGAGAGAAAAAAAAACGCATCCTTTAAATCTTTGTATTCTGCTCTAAGAATTTAGAAGAAGAAAAGAAGAAGCAGAAAACATTTGGAGTTTTGTCATTTGTTTTACAAATGTAACGGGTTGAAAACTGACCACCGAAAATACAGCAAGCCAGTTAACAGTTGCCCCTATGTCACACACAAAAAAATTGAAATAAAATAATTTGTAATTTTCGAACCCAAAAATTCTGCCGTCTGAAAAGGGATGTGATCATTAAATGCAAACGGAGCTTCCTTTGACTAAGAAATATATAGTTTTGTTAATATAGCAATGCCTGACTATGTGACGGCATCATTAGTTTATTACGTTACGTTAAAAGCGAAAAAAAAATTTCTTTTTCTTTTTCACCACAGATAATATATAATTTGTTGTTGTAAATATTATTGTATCCCCAATGTATGTCTGTGTTGTTGTAAATATAATTGTAAATATTATATGTCTGTGTTGTTGTAAATATAATTGTACCCACAATATATGTCTGCACACTATGCATTTGCAACCAGCACCTAAGATGTTACACATGTGTAGCGACCACTGTGAAGTTGATCATCTTGAAACAATTCATTAAACACAATTCTAGAGTTTCCAGTTAAATTTCTAATTTTATATTTCACAGGCCACTTTAGATCAGCGTGGGATGTTATGAAAGAGGAGTTTGAAGGAATGAAGACAATGAAGCCGCCAGGGACTGTGGTTCCAAGGGAGACTGATGTTCTTATCATTGGCGGGGGGGTCGTTGGATCCTCTGTTGCTTATTGGCTAAAACATGAGGATCCAGCCGGCTCAAATGTTACTGTTATTGAGAGGGATCCTGTGGTATGTATATTTTGAAATTTGCCATCTTTTCTGAGCAGCTGGCTAAACAGTTAGGAGCAGTGGCTGTCATGTGGGATCAGGCTCTCTCATGCCATTATGGGGAAAACAAGAATAGATGAACATGTCGTAAGAGTCAACAGATTAGTGGATTCCTTTGAAGTGTGTCTGCCTGAGAGGCAAGAAATGAACAGTGCATACAGATAAGCCAGATCTGGAAAATGGATGTGCACGCAACACTGAGATAGTGTCTGCCATCAGGGACCTTCAACCAGATCTGTTTTTGTTGTTATGTCTTTTTTTTTTTTTTTTTCACTCTAAAAAGTGCAGTTGGTAATTTCACTGTGGTTTTCAGCTAGGCTGTGATATCTGCACCTCTGAGTCCAACACATCTGCTTTAAGCAAACCCCTGATTAATCGTCATTTGTGACATGCTCTGATTGGATAAGAATGTGTTGCTCTCATGCGAGAGACCCAGGTTTGAATCCTCAGTAAGGGTGCACATTTTTGTCAAGGCTAAAAATAAAAATAAGAATCTGCACAGTCCGTGGCGACAGCACTAGCCGTGCAGCCATTAAATTCTCCGGCTGAAAGTTTCCCCCTTCCCGCACCTACGCTGCAAACATTGTAAATGTGGGCAGTATTGACAGTGTATGACATACTTGCTAGGGGGCAGTGGAAATTCTGTGTTATAATAAGTCGAGCTGAATTTATTAAACTTTCAGTACACAAGAGCTTCAAGTATGCTATCTTGGGAAGGAATCAACTTTAGATCTTCCATACCAGAAAATGTCCAGCTGTCTTTGTACACCTCAGATTTCCTGCGGGACATCAAGCAGCACCTGAATGTCCTTCGTGAGTTTTTGAGCCTGGCTTCTGTGTGTTGTTTATTTTTCGATGCTCTGAAATAATAGTGGGCATATAGGGCTAGACCTATATTTTATAGACCAGCTGGCACTTGGTGGGGGAATGTGGTCAGCATCTCACCAGCCGGCTTTACTTCCCAGGATTTTATGTGATACCCATTTAAAGCTGGGTCGACCTGAGAGCTAAGGCTGTTTTACAGAGTTATAATGAATAACATAATTATATGAATATATTATATATTGAGTATCCTAACAATACCAGGGATACAGCTAAAATACCAACAGGAAAGCACTGTCACAACTATGATGCAGAAGTTCAAGCCATCAAGATAGCGGCAGAAAAACTACTAAATACAGGGTATTTTTCACAACCAGTAGTATTCCTATCAGATGCAAAAGCGGTACTTCAGTCACTCCAGTCTGGAAAATTACCAAGCATACGGACACTGTTATCCGAACTAGGCAACCGTTGTAATTTAGTAATGCAGCGGATACCTTCCCACTGTGGAGTTCCCGGAAACGAAAGAGCTGATAAACTAGCTAAGGAAGGTGCAACTGAAGAACAACCTGACATACCAGTCTCTTATCAACAGAAGAAGAGAATGATCAAATCAATCAGAATGCCACCGAAACTGGCACAAAACGATTACCATATTATGGACAGACCAGAGCAAGTCATTATCCTTCGCCTTAGAACAGGGCACAATCAACTTCGCTGCCACAAGTGCAACAAATTTAAGATTAGCCAATCAGCCATGTGTATTTGTGGACTGGCACCTGAAACAACAGATCACATCCTTCAAGACTTACCAGATTCAACGCTTTCAGGCAAAACCTTTGGCCAAAAGAGACACTTGTGGAAGTCAAACTTTAGGGGCCGCTTAGTGAATTACAAAAGACAGTGAAATTCATACTAGAGACAGCATTGCAGATATAGATAATTTATTTCATGCGAACGAAAGAAAGAAGAAGAAGAATTTAAAAGTATGTGATACTTACCCGGACTGCTTAGAGCCACAAGAATAGTCTTTCTTCTAGACTGCTCACTACGGAATTCAAACTTGTAATCAGCATTGAATTGTGAAACAGTTTTGCTAGCATCCAAGCAACACAACCGCACTTCAGACTCATAAATGTCTATATATAATTACACACTTCTGCTTCATAATTGTAGACTAAACAAACTCCTCGTGTGGGTTCCAGGAATCTTATTGTGGGGGGGGGGGGGGGGGGGGGGGGGGGGAGTAGATCCACTGCCCCAACAAGCATGTTGTAAAAGTAGACTATTTGGTCTGTTTCCTTTGATATCGGAGTGCATCTGCCTGAGAGGAGAACCAACAGTCTGCATAAAAGTGAGTCAGATCTTTAACATGGATGCTATGCAGAACTCAAAATTCTGGATTAAGACCAAGGTTCAAAAGTGGATGAAAAACCAGACCTTTCTGCCAGAGTTTATAGCTCATGAACATTAAGAAGAAAAAGAATTAAACCAACAGACTGCAGTTCTCCAGGATTGTTCTTTGTTCTGTGAACTGGAAAACATAATTGCACACTTTATCAACCCTAAACTCTAAGCTACATAAAACTAAAGAGGAATTTGGCATTACACCTGAAATTATCTGATGTCGGAGCAGGAGGGCACCCACGGGGAAGTTGGACTGAAAACATTAAAGATATTCTACATCAGCTCCTGGGAAGGCTAACCTGGTCAACAAATGCCTGCCGAAGTAGGATGTGTCGGCCGAAAGGTGCAGGTATCACAGCCATGCTGTAAACAGGCACAGCACAATTACGTCTTTGGATGAACACAGAAGAAGATGTGTCAGCTAAGACTGACAGTAGCCCAGGGTGACCCATCTAACTCAGGACCACAGACTGTTCCCCTCCCATGGTGCTTCACTCTTTCACTGGCAGAAGATTTCCATGGACATTCCTTAGTCGTGAGGCATTCCAAGAGTAGAGAACAGAAGAAGAAATTTATTTCAAAAATTACTTTCAAAATGGTAATATAACAGTAGTAGTGACAGGTTTAAAAGCCAGTTTCTAAAATATGTTCCGAACAAACATTTAAAAAAAAGAGAGAGAGAGAGCACCCTAAGCCAAAGAGGGGATTCAGCAATTAGAGTGATTCACACATATATTGGTTGGGACTGAAAGAGTTAATGGCAGACGTGGACATTGAAGATGAGGATGATGATGATGATGACTTACTGTAGAACTGGCACCATATAACAGTAATAACTATTTCTTTCAGATGAAGCTTCTCCAGATGTGCAGTTTAATCACCAGGGTTATCTGCTCCTTGCAGAGGAGAAAGATGCAGAACGCCTGGCGGAGGATGTAGTCATGCAGCAGTAGGTGTTGTCAGGACTGATTTAGCAGATTGGTTGTTCTAGTTGGTTGTTGTTGTTGTTCTTCAGTTTCTCTTCATTGCTCTACTTCCTTTCCTTTTTGTTTCTAATTTCCTTCTTCTTGTTCATTTTCTTTGCTCTTCAGATTCTCTCTCATCCTTATTCTTCATTTCCTGCTCCACATTCTTTCTCCTTTCCTTTTTTTATTAGAACTCCCTATCCACTTTCTTCATTTCTTTCCTCCTTGTTCTTCATCATCCTTTTCTAACTTGCTCTTCATCTACCCTGCCTTGTTACTCATCTTCATTTCCACGTCCTTCTTGTTTTACCCCCTCCCAAAGCCAAAACCCCAAACCCCCATTCCTTATCTCCTTCAGTAGTAGTAGAAACATTAGTCAGAACACTGATTGATGAAGGTGATGCTGTAGTTTACATGGCTGGATCAGTAACTTGGTGCAAGCAAAGAGCATGGGCATTCTAAATGAGCTTAAGAAGGAACATCATCAAGGAGATGAATGGTGCTTTTGCTGTCTGTACAACTAGCACATGGACATACAAGTCGGCTGCTTCAAAAATCTGGTTACTGAGGTTAAACGGGAGAAGTGGACAGAAGGTGTTTCACAAAATAAGCAGAGATAAATCATTGAAGCTGTTCTGGGGACTACATAAAAGTATGAACGGTGCCCACACAAATAAGAGCATTTCTGACCCAGTGCTCCGACCTCACCTGGCAGAGGTCAGACAAAAATAAAGGCAAGGGGTTTTTAGAACACTTTCTGCAGCAGAGCAACCAGACCGATATGACAGGACGCAGTTTTGTCAAAGCTATTACCTTTGATAGGTGTAAGTCACAGCCGTTTGCAGACGGTGGTATAGTGACAGTGGATGAGATCAGGCTGTGCTAGGACGAACAAATAATAGTGCACCAGGTCCTGATGTTATAAAATATGATGACATTAGTAGGTGTACTGAAGATGAGCTGAAAGAGCTAGCATATATATACGACAATAGTATTGCTAGTATCAGTGAAGAGTGGTTACACAGCTATCTGATACCCCTGCCAAAACCTGGCAAAGATCACAAAAAAATTCAGGGATTCAGATTATCACTTTACAAAATACTGTAAGCAAGCTGTTAGAAAAGATAATCGCCAGAACAATTTAACACCAGCTTGAGAGGCGAGGTCTTCTTTCAAATACCCTTGGAGGGTACTGTCCAAAGAAAGAAACATGGACCAATGCTGCGGTTTTTGCTCATGATGTGTATGAAGGCTTCCACTCAGGTATTGAAACGTGTGCTGCGGCAATTGATCTCGAGGTTGCGTACAACAGAGTACCTTTTGATTTCTTAATGTCTCAGCTTCTGGAACTCCAGGAAAGTCCATTCCTGCTTCACTGGATCTCTTCCGCCCTCTTCCAACGAAAAGTAGTGTTCAGATGTGGCAGCTGGACTTCTGAACCAACAACAATACATCCTGGCCTGCCACAGGGATCGCCATTATCTCCTGTGTTGCTCAACATTTACACAGTGAGAATCACAGGCGAGCAAATCACAGGACCCGGAAGAACACTATCATATGCTGACAATGTGTTAGTGTATCGTCAGGGTAAGGATAGAGAGAAGGTTGCTGAAGAACTACAAAAAGAGCTCAATCGCATAAGCACTTGGTGTGGTGAAGCTGATGCACTGGTCAACCCAACGAAGGCGGCAGTGATATGGTTCTCTTTGAATAACCATAATGTGAAAACTCCAACACCAGTTGTCAGTCTGTGTTCTGAGCATGTGGAAAGAATGAATGCAATGATATACCTCGGGGTACATTTTGATCGAAACCTTGCTTATACTGAGCACATAGATAGGTTTTTAATGAAAGCCAAGTGGGGCCTGGCTGCGATGAGAGTGATGGCGGCGGCATTCTGTGAGCAGCGTCATCTATGTCTTCTATACCAGGGTCTGGTCCTTTCTGTTTTTGAATACGCGATGGCGATCCTGACTCTCAGCCATAAGCAGATGGAAAGGATCTAAAGGATACAGAATGAGGCTATGCGTATTATACTTGTTGTACAAGAGATACGGCATGCAGGGCTATGTGCTACCTTCTCGATTTTCCGACCATGGAAGACAGAATACAAATTTCCCGAGCTCGTCCCTACCTCACAGTCAAGGCGGACATACAACATCCATTACGTAGTCAAATCAAGAAGATTAAAGGCAGCAGGTTATAAAGAGGCAAATTGTGCTCAAGCCGAAGACATTATTTTACAGGTATGTTCACTTGAGGACATAGAACCAGGTGAGGAGTGGGTGCAAGTGCCTTCAGAGTGCTGTACATCTTTTTCTGTTTGCATCCAACTAGACAGAAAACGCAGACAGCAGAGTCCGGCTGCTGTGGAAGCAGAAGTTCAGGCCTTGATTTTCGAGTACGCTCTAGAGGGTGATGCTGTCATTTACACAGATGGTTCTGTTATCTGCCGCGTTAGAGGCTCGTGGGCTTTCACGGCTAAGGTTAGAGGGAGAGTTGTGAAGGAAGATTCTGGAGCTTTTGCAGTAACTACAAGTAGTCTGACTATGGAGGTCATGGCTGTGACTAAAGTAGTAAAATGGCTAGAAACACAGACTTTCACAGGGGCATGCTTTCTCAGTGACTCAATGAGTATGCTCAGGAAGATAGAGATGGGCTGGGTCTGAAGGCAGTGGTTGATGGCTGTACACTATTCTTAGCTGACAAGGATTAGTTTCATTTTCATGCCTGGATATGTGGGGGTACAAGGAAATGAGCAAGCTGACAGGCTTTCAGGTGAGGCTACTGTGAAAGCAGGACAAGCCATGGACCAGGCTGATATACTGAATGCTTCAAGAGAGTTAAGACATGTGCGTGAACCAACTGAGAACTGTGAATCTGCAACAATGGTCAGACTGCAAGAACAACATGTTAAACGGGGTGTCGCCAAACAAAGAATACTACTCGGGTAGCCATAGAAGAATAATAAACTCAGAACTGGTGTTGTTAGTTGCTACACGCTGCAGGATTTACTGAGGAGGGGATCCGAGCACCTATGGACTGAGTGGTTAGACGTGCAGTGAGGATAATCTGTCGACTAACTAACAACTAGCAGCCTCACAATGGAAACTGGGGCTATAACAAGACCATCAGCACAGCTGGCTGCTCAAGAGTTTACACACATGAATACCTAATGACTCAGTGAAAATGCTGGAGAAAATCTAAGCTATGTTTATCGGACAAGAATGGATTGTATCACTAAGCACTAAGTTAATGGTTAGCCCAACCTTTGTCTTTGTACTGGGTCTTGCGGATGTTCGAGGCAACAAGCGTGTAGATTATCTTGCAGACGCTTTAGTTACTATAGCTGGTCTGTTACTGAACAACTGTGTACGCAGACAGTGGATTGAAAGAGCTGACGGATTGGCTGGTTCTGTCTTAGTTGCAGATGGCCGGCCTATGCATCACGCTGACATTGTTAGTGCCCTTAGAGAGATAGGACGATCTGAGGTTTTTAAAAGCAGTGTGTCTACATCACTGCTAAGAATGCGAGAATTAGGAGTAAAAATTGGCACATCTAAGCATGAGAGGCACGCCAGACATACAAGAAGCACACTGGACTTACAAGAAGTCTTGTTGATCGGCATAAAACTTGCACTATTAACCGCAGGGCGCTGATGTATTTGCTGAAAGGGGAAATCTGAGCACCTATGGACATGCCCAGAGTGCCGTGAAGATAACCCAAATAATAACTCAAGTTGAACAAAGAGAACAATGTTGAGATGCTGCAGGAAGATAACAGATAACAGCTTCATCTACTGTAGCTCACACTAGGTCTACAAAGATCACAAGTGAAATGGATTCTGTTTGTAAGTTGAAAGAGAAAATCATTTTTTAAACTCTTATGGTATCAGTAAACTTGTCCCCCCGTGTGGGTTCCGGGGCCCCATTGTGTGGAAAACAAGAATAGACCCACTGCCTCCCTAAAAGCATGTCGTAAGAGACGACTAATTGGGGAGCTTCCTTTGAAGTCGGAGTGCATCTACCGGAGAGGCAAGGAACCAACAGTCTGTATTCAAGAGAATGAGATCTGTAAAACTGATGCACACGCAACACTCAGGTTCTGGAGCAGGACTGCAGTTCAGTTGTGGACGAGCAACCAGAACCTTCCGCCAGAGTTTACAGCTGGTGAACGCGAAGAAGAAGAAGAAGAAGAAGAAGAGTAAACTTGTCATTTGTTAACAGATTACTTCATACATAGAACTATTTCACAACTTCTTCTATCCCATGCTTCTCTGTTGTTGTTTTTTTTTCTTGTAACCATTTCGCGCTAGTAAAGCGCAACAAAATAGTTCATTACCCTGGGGGGAATTCTCGAAAGAAAACCTTTAAAAACAACATAAACGCCACTAACAAATTTTAAAAAAAAAATTTATTTATGTACATTAACAAAAATAAATTATGGAAATGTTTAAAAGTAGTCATCAGAAATGTGGACAGAGTGAAGCATTAAATACATTCCCAGGAGCCTTCAAAACATATGTATTTGAATGACTTGTGTTGTGACCCTGTGACCTCTATCAGTGAGGCTTAGGGGGAAATTTTACATCAGAAGAGCCCATATGAGGAAACCCCCCCCCCCCCTTTTCCCCATAGTGGCTGTTTTTGTTTTACTCACACCATAGTGTATTTATTTGCAGGGATCTTGGAGCTCGGGTTGTCCTTCTAACCAAGAGGCAGTTAACGGAGAGGTATCCTTGGATGGACTTTGAGGGAATTGAATGTGGTTCTTTGGGTAATTTGCAATGAAAATTTAAAAAATTTTCTTTTCTACCTTCGTTTTTTTTTTTTTTTTTTTTTCAAAATCCATTCTTTGTTTCTTTCATTTTCTGTGTTTTAATCCCCCTTCACATCCCCCCCCCCCCCCCCCACACAGTTTTATCTCATGTAAATTGTTTTGTTTGTGTCATTTAAGTATTGTTATTTTTCCATATTTTATTTGGTTTCTTTTATATATTTTATTTCTATAGGTTTTTTTAAATTTAATCTCTTTGTTTTTTTTTAAAAGTCTTTTTGTTTTTTTTCAATTGTTATCTTGCTTTTCTTCCTTGCGTATCAGTGGATAGATAGACAGACAGACAGAGGGGTTAGTTAGATCAGTCGATAAATCTAAAGATCAATGAATGACAGACAGATAAATAGAAACCAAACCATTTATAAGAACTTGTTTGGAAACCAGTGCTCTAGATTTCTAGCCTTCAATTTCTTTAATTTCTCGACATTTATTTCAAGGTCTAGAAGGTGAGGGCTGGCTGGACCCGTGGTCATATCTTCGAGCACTGAAACAAAAGAACATCAGTTTAGGGGTGAAGTACGTGCACGGAGAACTCACTGGCTTTGAGCTGGTGGAGATAGAGACTGATGGGCCTGTCAAGTTCAAATTAGATGCTGGAGTTGTGAGTTTTTGATGTGCAGTTATTTTTTTGTTTTGGTCGTTTCTGTTGTAATTGTTTAAGATAACAGGATTTTCTGAAATGCAGTTGCCAGAAAAGCATCTGCCAGATCAGTTTGAATGTTATAAATTGGGAAGCCCGAATTTAGTTCCTCAGTAAGATAATGGGATGTTTTCTGTGATGACATTAAAGAGCTTCTACTTCGACACCGAATGACAACAGCCATTGCTGCACATCAAGCAGTGGATTGCAAACTGTTCCTGCCCCCAAATCTTAACAGAAGTGGAAACATGATGATGATGATGATGATTTCAGATGATGCTGTCACACTGAAGCACATTTTTGAGAATGTTTTCGTGTACAGTTGGTCACCGTCATGTACATGAACCCTGAATGCAGTTTCAACAATCGGGAAAACATATTTCCCGATTCAACTTCGTGATCAACCGGCTTAACTCTGGCGGAAAGTTCTAGTTGTTCATCCACTTCTGGACTGCAGAATGTTGCAGTGCATCCGTTTTACAGATCTGACTCATTTGTATGCAGACTGCTGGTTCCTTGCCTCTCCGGCAGATGCACTCTGACTTTGAAGGAAGCTCCCAGTTAGTCGACTCTTAGGACATGCTTTTGGGTAGGCAGTGGTATAACAGGGCCCCGGAACCCATACAGGGAAGATTTCAAATTGTTCAGTTATTTCTTTGTACGGTGCAGGAAGAACCTCACAGTTTTCCTTAAGAAACCATATAATGCTTGAGATACTCACATTCACTGTAAAGGTCATCATAATTCTGGTCTTTTTGACACACATTAGCCAGATGTTCACTCTTTCCCTTCAGTGTCTCAGAAGCAAGGGTTTTCAGTTCTCTGAAGACAGAACAGATTTCCAAAACTGTGAATAAGCTCCGCGTGTATTGTTAGTTAAAACCAGAATAAGGAGGGACGTTTCCACATTGAACTTTTAGTTTTTACTGAGAAATACCTCTTTTGGCAGTTGGTTTATCCATCTTAGCTAGTATAACTTTGTTGTCATTCACTTTAATCTGTATCGGGACACATATTCCTGGCTTTGAAATCATGTTTACTAAATTTGTCCCTTTATCATGTTTACTAAATTTGTCTCTTTATCATGTTTACTAAATTTGTTCCTTTATCATGTTGACTATGTCTCTTTATCATGTTGACTAAATTTGTCTCTTTATCATGTTAACTATGTCTCTTTATCATGTTGACTCAATTTGTCTCTTTATCATGTTGACTAAATTAATTCCTTTATCATGTTTACTAAATTTGTCTCTTTATCATGTTTAATAAATTTGTTCCTTTATCATGTTTACTAAATTTGACCCTTTATCATGTTTACTAAATTTGTCTCTTTATCATGTTTACTAAATTTTTTCATTTATCATGTTTACTAAATTTGTTCCTTCATGTTTACTAAATTTGTCTCTTTATCATGTTTTCTAAATTTGGCTCTTTATCATGTTTACTAAATCTATCCCTTTATCATGTTTACTAAATTTGTCCCTTTATCATGTTTACTAAATTTGTCCCTTCATCATGGTTACTAAATTTGTCCCTTCATCATGTTTACTAAATTTGTCCCTTCATCATGTTTACTAAGTTTGTTCATTTCAAAAAAAATTATTGTTTAATTACACAGATGTAAATTTAAGCGTCAAATATATTTTTATTTGTGACAAGTCACTTGACATTCACAGATTAGCATAGGATCCCCAGACTAGTGCCCAGTGGGCCCATGCGTTAAGATGGTCCTGCCTCCAACGACTTGGATTTATTGCATAAGATGTTCTTCATTTTATAAAATGCATTTTTTCCTGCTTTTTTTTCTGTTTGTTTTGTGTTTTTGTGTGTGTGTTTTTTTAAAATCTATATTATACATCTTTCATCTGATATTATTCTTGTGCCTCGATATTTACGTTGTAGAAAAGTGAATAACTCGAATTGACAGGATACAAAAACAACATCATATGCTAATTTTGTTGATGTTTTCTAAATTCCAGACACGAACACCAGATGGCAGGGAGCATGAAACAAAGTTTTGTTTGGCCATCAACTGTGCTGGCCCTTGGGCAGCGGATGTCGCAGAAATGGCCAGGGTTGGGACCGGAGAGGGAGATTTAGCTGTACCTCTGCCTGTGGAGCCAAGGTAAGACTTTGCTTATTCTTTTTCTTCTTTCTCCACCTCTTTCTCTTCTTCTTCTTCTTCCTCCTCCTCTGCCTCTTTTCCCTGTGGAGTATAGGCCCTTAACCAACACACCAATTTGCCCTATCATATACTGTTGCATGCAGCTCACCTCTTGTTTACCACATCTTTTTAACCTCTGTAAATCCCTTCTCCATGTGTTATTTTTGTTTCTTTGATCCTGTGGGTTCCACTGTAAAGACATTCTTCTAGTTATATTGTCAGGTTTTCACCTCGTGCCATATCCAAAGCCAGGGTCTTTTCTTTATCTTTTGATTCACTGGAATTGGGTTAGTTTTCTCCTAGACCTCCACATGAGGGATTAGATAAGACTTTTGCTTGCCATTTTCTTCTGTTGCTTTATCCTCTTATGTGGTTTTTTGTTTTGTTTTATATTTTTTTTTTTAAATTGTTTGTTAGCTGTTAAAAACCAGTGTGGTGTGGTGTTAAATATAATTTATATCAATGAAAGTTTTGCACTTTCAAGTGCTCTTTTGCATTCATCCTTATAAGGGCACTTGGTGTGCTGTGTTTAGGTTTATAGCTAAGCTGTAATATCTGCACCTTTCAGCCACACACCTTTCAGCCACACACCTTTCAGCCACACACCTTTCAGCCCACACACCTTTCAGCCACACACCTTTCAGCGAAAAACCCTAATTAGTGGCCTCTTATGACATGCTCTTTGGGGGGCAGCAGGTATTCCCCCATTCCTTTTGCTGAATGAGGCTCCGGAACCCACATAGGGACATTTGAAAGAATTAACTTGTGAACTCTCCATGTGAGCTCCGGAGCCCGCTTGTTGGGAAAACAAGATTAGACCCACTGCCTCCGCAACAAGCATGTCTTAGGAGTTGACTGATTGGGGACTTCCTTCACAGCTGGAGTGCATGTGCTCGAGCGACAAGTAACAATCAGCGCACAAGACAGTAAAACAGATGTCGGCTATCCTCCGAATAACGGGCACAAAAGATGGCGGCCAAAAATAGGGCCTCAGTCACGTGTCAGTTGCGCACTTTCAGCGACCTAATTTGCGGTTTTTCTGCAACTACCACCACCGCGGCGTGGATTGGGGCTAAACTAGATGGCTAGGACTCACGAGCAAAGCTGCAGGAGATGCACATGCTGCTGCTCGTGAGTCCCAGCCATCTAACTTAGCCCCAATCCACGCTGCGTGGGGGATACTCTCGGCGGTGGCGGTAGTCGCCGGAAAACCGCAAGAAGTTCGCAGTTGACACGTGACTGAGGCTCTGTTAGGGTGTTTTTGCAGCCGCCAGCTTTTGTGCCTGTTATTCGGAGGATAATATGCAAAACTCAGGCCCTGGCACAAAGATAAAGTTCAAATGGACAAACTACCTGGACTTTCCACAGGAGCTTACAGCTGGTAAACAAGGAAGAAGAAAAAATAACAAGAGTTAGCAGAGAATTCCAGCGACCTAAGGAGGCATGAATGGCAAGGGAAATTACTCTAATCCTGGACCGCTTATCACGACCTGTACCGAAGAAAGAAATATAACAGACGTGGGAGTGTCCTGATTCTAGTGATGTGATTCATTCATTAATTTATTCTGCAGAAAGCGATATGCTTTTGTCAACCATTTGCCTAGTGGGCCCAAGCTGGATTGCCCCCTTGTGAAGGATCCTTCTGGTTTGTTTTTCCACAGAGAAGGATTTGGTGGGCACTATGTTTGTGGCCTTGACCCAGTTTCCGAGGTAACAAAATATTTGTGTGTTGATGTAATTTCTGGCATACTGTGACAGCAAGTGCTGAAATTCTTCTTCTTCTATTGGGCTCTATTGCTAGTAAAGTAAAGAACCCTTTCCACTCCTTCAGGCTTATTGGGCATATAGTGCTAGAGCTGTTTTTGGTAGGCCAATCAGCACTCGGTGGGTGATATGCTCAGCACCATGCCAGCCACTTGCATTTTTTTGGTTGTTGTTATAAACTTAGACTACTCAGAGGGGGTTACCATGATTGTTGTATGCGAGCCGGAGGATGTACCGCACATTTGCAAAGTATCTAGGTGATTTGTAAATATATGTCAGTCCTCCACACAGCAGCACACGGTTCCCTCAGCTGACGAACCATGGCCACCCACTCTCATTGTCATGGCACATGATGGTGACTTCTACTAGAGTAATGGAAGGCTAACCCAAACAAGGAGACCACAGTGAGCCAGGCACAAGAAACATGATCTGTGGTAACCACTACATTGTCTATGAGTACTGTAATATAATACAACAAGCCAGCTATGATCTTATAGTTCAGTCTCTACCATGGTAACCACTACATTGTCTATGAGTACTGTAATATAATACAACAAGCCAGCTATGGTCTTATAGTTCAGTCTCTACCATGGTAACCACTACATTGTCTATGAGTACTGTAATATAATACAACAAGCCAGCTATGGTCTTATAGTTCATTCTCTACCATGGTAACCACTACATTGTCTATGAGTACTGTAATATAATACAACAAGCCAGCTATGATCTTATAGTTCAGTCTCTTCCATGGACGAACACATTGCAAAGAAGATGAATTGGTGATCAGGGACTCACTGTCAAGTCTCCTGTTGCCTGCCAAGTACACCCACATCGGCAGTCTACCGCTCCCAGTGAACAAGGTACCTGCTACATGTTACTAATACCCGATCGCGCAGATACACCTACATGGTGTGCAGTGACAGTCCTCTCTGATAGTCCTTCCTTTAAGAGGCTCCAGCACCCAAGGACACAGTCGATGCACCACTTGGTGAAAAGAATCTAGACCTCCCGTCTGCTACCCAGTTACTTATTGAAGTATCACTGATCAACATGCCGTTAAACAGCTTCCGATGTCTCCCCATCACAACTTCATGCTGGCCAACACATACAAAATCACCTCAGCACCTTCTGTTGCACTTAAAGACACCCTGTCAATCAGCGTGCCACATAGCTGCAGCTGTGCTAATCTCCAACACACAAAGGCCGCACAACCATTCTAGAAATCACACTTCCTGAAGTTCAACTCCTGATCCACCTCAGTCATCCGGACACTTTACACAAGCTCCACAGAATAAAACATGGTTGAAACTGTCACACAAGTCCATGCATCCGTCGGACTTGAACAATTCACGCACATATCCACACACTTAGACTGACTGAAAGGGATTGCCTGATTCAAGCTATCACAGGATTTTTTCCCACCTGTGGTCAACTCCACGAGGATCTCCCTCTCTCGCCAAAAACCCGGGCTGTTAACAGTCATCCGTAAATATTAGGCAGTGTCTGTTTTACCAGCCGCAAGTGGCTGAAATCTTTACACTCACAACCTGTCAACACAACATGAACATCCATGTGTACCCATGCTTCACAAAGCGCCAGCTTCATGAACTGTTTATACACAATAGTAAATTTCACATATGACAAGGGCTAAATGCAGCTACAATAAACTGCGGTGTCTCTCAGATTACTGAAGAGTTTCCATGACTTAACCATTTATAAAACGCTGTGAAGATCATGGGTTTGTTTCACAGACTGCATCATTCATTTCTTGAGTGCATTTTTGTGGAGATCCCTGATGATAGAGCTACAGAGTTTGTGTTTAGTGTAGCACTCAGCAGTCGACTTGCAGTTCTTGCGGAGAGAGTTATATAGTAACCTGTAGAGTGGTAGGCAAACAAGACTTGACCATAGAGACCCTCTTGACCACCTAAAATCACTTGTAATGTTATTGCTAACATGTTTACACCAGTCAGATGCTGTCTCTATTAACCACGGAAATGAGATGTCTGAGAAGGGCTGTAGGAGTGACCATAAGAGATAAGATCAGGAATGAGATCATAAAAGAACAAGTCGGCACAGAACCAATTCTGGATTACATACAAAGACAGCAAGTGAAATGGTTTGCCCACTTGAAGAGAATGCCTTGTGACACCATACCATACAAAGCATACATGGAAAGAGAAGAAGGACGTAGAGCACGGGGTAGACCAAGAACAAGATGGAAGGATAACATCAGAGAAACTCTACAACAGCACGATGTGCCTATGGTCGAGGCAGCCAGAAGAGCTAGAAACAGAACCTTATATCCACAGCAGTAAAAGAGGAAGTGAAGAAGAAGAAGCAGAAGAAGAAGATGCTGTCTCTACAATGAAGGATGGCAACAGTGTATCTCCAGCCATCTCTGTCTCTTGTCTGGGTAGCTCACTCTCTCAAACTGCTGTTCCTCCATCTCTTGACTTTGTGCTCCCACTTATATCATTGCCATCATCTTTTGCCTTTGAATTATCCCTCCAGCATGTTTTTTTTTTTAAAGAATGTTGTCTTTTATTGTGGCCAGAATGTTTCAGTTGTCTCTTTTTAAAAATGTCTTTCAGTAACTCTCTTTTTATTCACAGTTTCTCCGGAACTTCTATATTTGATTGTTTTTCTTTCCATGAAATACAGCCTATTCTTCTGCAAATCCATATTTTTTGAGTTTGATTTTCTAGTTGTTTGTTCATTGTCCAGGTTTCGGCACCATACAGCAGAGTTGAGTATACATAACATTGGATATTTTCAGTGTATTTCTTCAGCTGTCAGTAATTTGTGCATCTCATTGAAAATATTTAAACCATTTCTGTTCTCTTTTTTTTTAAATTTCTGTTCACTTGTGCCATCATTTGTTATTATGTGTCCAGAATTTTAAAAAAAACTTATCCCTTGTACTAATATTTCTCTGTTTACTGTGATGTTTACTGTTGGTCGCTCATTTCCATTGTTAATTATTACCGTTTTTATTTTTTAAATAATAATAATATCTTAACAAAAATCTGCAATCTGCCTGTTGATTTGATCCACTAGATCCTGTAACTTCTGTAAGATGGAGAGAAATATGTCCCCCGTGACGGGTGGAAAATATCACCAATAAAATGTCAGAAGTCACACCAGTATCAAAACATACAGAGGGAAGTTGAATGTTCACTTTAAATAACATGATTATTTGCAGTTACAGTTTTCGCCTGACTGTTTTTTTTTCCACTTTTAACTTGAATGTGGTCATATATTCTAGGTTGATGAACCTGTGATTGCCAATTTTGAAGTGGACTTTGGTTTCTATGATGAAAAAGTGCTGCCAAAACTGACCAAGAGGGTGCCAGAATTTAGCAAGTCAAACGTAAGAATTCCTTAGTTTGCACACCGGTCTTAGCTAGATTTGGTTTCTTATAGACTTTCAAACCAAGATGAGGTCATCATAATTAAATTGTAATTCGGACATAACAGCTCGAAGCATCATCTTTATCATTTATTCAGGACTTACTGTTTTTGATGAATAAATGTGTATTCAATCTGTTTACTGTCCATCTTGTTTATAAAAACCCAGTTGATACAGATCTGAACCCAGGATTCTTAGACCAGCAGCAAATGTTTAGCACTGCACCACTCAACTCCTGTTCTTTGCATCTGGAGACAGTGCGACCTTTCTAAAGTTTCTAAGGTCCCTTTGCCATTTTTAGTTTGTTTGAAGTGGTTGAGATAGTTGCCCCATGCCTTGAAAGTTATGGGTTTAGGTTCAGACTGTCATCTTGTTCATTACAACCATTGCCAGTCCCAGGCCCGATTGAGAAAGGAGGAGGGTAGTGGGACCAGCAGTAAAAAATGCTGTGCTTCAGAAATTTGCACAAAGGGATGCATTCTGGTAAATGAACGAATCAAGTAGTGCACAGAGTCGCATGTGGTGGTCCCAAGAGAAACCCTAGGGCGAACATTGATGAGAGAAGCCGGGGGTGCTGTTAATTCATTGAGACTGAATGGGTTAACCGCTTTTAACCCTTTTTCTTAAAATGTTGATCTCATGTTTTAGAGCCATACGGAACTGTGGACTGAATAAGTGATACTTTTTCTCTACCACTACACAATGTTAATATTTAAAATACCCCATGTGGGAGGAATAGACCCGCTCCCCCCCCCCCTCCCGCTCCCTTTTCCAAAAGCCTGTCGTAAAAGTTAATTAATTAGGGGTGTTTCCTTCAGAGTCGGAGTGCTTCTACTTGGGAAGTGAGAAACCAACAGTCTGCTCACATGTAAGTTAGATGTGTAAATTGGATGTGCCTGCACACTCAAGTTCTGGAACAAGACTAAAGCCCAGAAGTGGACAAACAACCAGAACTTTCCACAGTTCACAGCTGGGGAACACAAAGAAGAAGAAGGAGAATGTTTAAAATATTTGTTTCGTTTAGAGTGCTTATGTTTTTTTTGTTGTTGCTACAAATGATTGATGCTTTGCATTGATCAGGAATCATGGTAGTGCACTGCTTTGTACTTGCCTGCTGGCCCAAAGATTGTTGGTTCAGTCCCTTCCCCCCCCCCAATCAAACAAGAATCTTGTATAAAGATGACTAATTAAGGGTTTACTGACGTGATGTGTGTTAGTTGGAAAAGTGCAGATATTGCATCCTGGGTATAAACCACAACTCAACATGACGCTTTTAAAGGCGAATACAGAAGATAAAGAAGTATAATTGTGGATAAATGTTTATCATCCATTGTTTCTTCACATGTGGGTTCTGGGACAAAGAATAGTCCCACTGCCGCCAACCTAACAAGTATGTCGTACAAGGTGATTAATTATAAATATTTTTTTTTAAGTTTGAGTGCATCTGCCTTAGAGGTGAGCAACCAACCATCTACATTTAAAAAAGCCAGATCTATAAATTGAATGTGCATGCAAAACATAAGTTCTGGAACGAGACTAATGTCCAGCAACCAACCATTTGACATTTAAATAAACCAGATGTATAAATCGATTGTGCATGCAAAACCTAAGTTCTGGAACGAGACTAATGTCCAGCAACCAACCATTTGACATTTAAATAAACCAGATGTATAAATTGAATGTTCATGCAAAACCTAAGTTCTGGAACGAGACTAATGTCCAGCAACCAACCATTTGACATTTAAATAAACCAGATGTATAAATTGAATGTTCATGCAAAATCTAAGTTCTGGAACGAGACTAATGTCCAGCAACCAACCATTTGACATTTAAATAAACCAGATGTATAAATCGAATGTTCATGCACAACCCAAGTTCTGGAACGAGACTAATGTCCAGCAACCAACCATTTGACATTTAAATAAACCAGATGTATAAATCGAATGTTCATGCAAAACCCAAGTTCTGGAACGAGACTAATGTCCAGCAACCAACGATTTGACATTTAAATAAACCAGATGTATAAATCGAATGTTCATGCAAAACCCAAGTTCTGGAACGAGACTAATGTCCAGCAGTGGACGGCCAACCAGAACTTTCCACTGGAGTTTACAGCCAGGAAACACTAAGAGATATCAGTTTTGATTTTACCAACTCTGATAACAGTTTGTTCATTTCTTTCTCAGCTAAAAACTGCCTGGGCAGGTTACAAAGACCACAACATCGTAGACCAGAGCCCAGTGATTGGACCTCATCCTTATCTAAGAAATTTCTTATTCGCTAATGGCTTGGAGGGCCAGGGACTGCAGTACTCAGCAGGAATTGGCCGGGCACTCATGGAGTATATTTTGGACAATGGGTATAAAGTGGCCAAGTTGGACAGGTTTCATTTTGACAGATTTTTGGTAGACGATCCTGAACAAGAGCAGTTGACTGGTTGAACATTTTGACAGTGCCAGGGAGGTTTCTGTTTGTGTAGGTCGATAGTTCATAAAAGGACTTGATTGCCTGCATCCGGGAATCCACATTCTTTGGACACTGCTTGATGAGAGAAGATTTGCAGTATATTGCGACACCTGTGGCAAAGCACCAGCATGGAATTCATTTTTCAAGATTTTTAGAACATGTATTATCACTGTAGCTACATACATATGTGAGTTGTGGACTATCTCACAGTCATTAAGAAAAAAAATTGTTGCTTTAAAGCTGAAATGCTTTAGAAAGATTCTCAGAATACCATGGATCAAGAAAGAGAAAAATATTAACATCCTTAAAGATCTGGATATCACGAAAGATTGGCTCATAAACAGTATCTTGTTTTGGAAACTAAGAATAGCTCTTGAACAGAATCTTGTCTCAGAAACTGAAATATTTTGTCCATATCAAGCGTTATGGAGGATTTGAAAGAACAGGAGCAGAAGGCATGGTACCAGGAAAGAAGAGCGAGGACAACCGGCATGAAGATGGGCTTAAGATATGAGACACTTTGGGTACGAGAGAGCTGATGAGAGAATGAGTTTCTTTTAGGCAGACTGTGATGGGAGCAACGTTCTGTAAAGCACCTGCTACATGATTGTGATTGTTACAGATGGAAAGTTGTAGAGAAAGAGAGGCAGTGGGCGTTGTGTTGAGAGGGTGTTGGACTGTGTGACATAAAGGCAGGAGTTTGGTTATGAAAACACAAAGTTCGATGATTAATTTAAACAAAATGATTGACAAATGTATTTTCAGCATTAAAGTAATGAATGACGCCCATATTTGTGGTCAGTGCAGCTGTGGGGACAGTGTATCCACTAGGATAAGTGGATACCTCTGGGAACCCTCTGCTGTTAGCAAGAGTGCCACACAGGAGATACTCATTGGCACTGACAGTCCAAAAGGGTGCTAAAGACTGAAGACATGTGGATGCGGAAAGCAAGGGAAAACTACCACATTACTATCCGTTCTATCCCAAGAAACTTATTATGGAAGCCAAAAAAGAAAGTCAAAGATCTGAGAAGTAATTCAAAGAGACATGGTCAGAAATGATGATATCAGGAAAGAAGAAAGAGGCTAAGACAGAATTAGTACTAAACTACATCAAGAGACAACAAATCAGTTGGTTTGGTCATGTGTCAAGACTGTCACCAGATAGTGCATCACAGAGAGCCTTGTCACTTAGACAGAATGGGAGCAGAACTAGAGGTCAATAACGCAAGTGATGGATAGATAGAATAATCAAGGCAGTACATACCAGCATCTACGTATCATGTATCAAGGCTCGCACCTGATGCCTCCTCAAAACCTGGTGATGAAAGGCAGGACATAACCAGAGAAGAAGCAGAAGAAGTCTGAAATACTGTGGTCATATCAAATACCGTAGTTTCTCATGTGGGTTCTGGGGCCCCCTTGTTGGGAAAACAAGAATAGACCCACTGCCTACCCAGCAAGTGTGTCATAAGAGTCAACTAATTTTGAGTTTCCTTGGAAGTTGGAGTGAATCTGTCTGAGAGGAAAGGAACCAACAGTCTGCATAAAATAATTCAGATCTGTAAAACAAGGTTCTGGAACAAGTCCAGAGGTGGATGCTAGAACTTTCCGCCAGAGTTTACAGCCGGCAAAGGCGAGAAAGGAGAAGAAATACCATAGTGTATTAGAAAAAACACGATCAGAGGGCGTGGTGCCAGATAAGGAAAAAGGGCTGGACTAGCACAAAGTTGAGCACAGGATATGGAAGACAACTTGGGCAGGAAGGTGTATGAGAAGGGAGAGTTAGTGAGGGATAGTTTCTTTCAAGTGTGCTGTGATAAAAGCGGCATTCTGTAAAGGACCTGTTACATGAGGATGATGATATTTGATTAGAGATGTTATTTAGAATAAATGTAAATTAACTAAACGTAGTGACCTTGTGATTGTTTATTTTATTTGATTGACGCTTGTTAATTTCTTCTTCTTCGCCTTCACCGGATGTAAACTTTGTTGGAAATTCCTGGTTATTTGTCCACTTCTGGACTCCCCCCCCCCCCACTCCCCGATTTAAGGTGTGTGTGCTCATCCATTTTACAGAACTGTTTGTGTGTGTGTGTGTGTGTGTGTGTGCAGTCTCTCTCCTCTCAGGCAGGTGCTCTCTGACTTCAAAGGAAATGTCAATCCTTTCTAGGTGTGCCAGACTCCTGGTTGGGAATCTGCTTCAAGGATGATTGTGGAAAGGTGTGGATAGGTCACGACCTATATGTAGGAGTTCCTGCTGCACTACCACATGTGGTTCAGCAACTCTGCGGCCTCATTGTTAATTCTTCTTGGCGTTCACCAGCTGTAAACTCTGGCAGAAAAGTTCTGGTTGTTCATCCACTTTTGGACCACAGTCCTGTTCCAGAACTTGAGTGTTGCGTGTACATCCGTTTCACAGATCTGACTAATTTGTTTGCAGACTGCTGGTTCCTTGCCTCTCAGGCAGATGCACTCAAACTTTAAAGGATTATTAGACCCTTACGACATGCTTTTGGGTAGGCAGTGGGTCTATTCTTGTTTTCCCTATAATTTCTGGAGATTATTCCATTTGGCAAAGCTGTTTAGATAATTATCCCCTTGTCCAAGGACAAGATGGGATAATAACATCAGAGAAACTCTACAACTTCACGATGTGTCTATAGTCAAGGCGGCCAGAAAAGCCCACTCAAAAACAGAACCTGTGATCTCTTTCGACACCTCAAACAGTAACAGATGAAAGTTCTTTTTCTTCTTTGTTCATCAGCTAAAAGTCCTGATTGTTCGTCCATTAGGACTTTGTTGTTCGTCCATTTGGACTTTTGCTTTATGCCAGGGCCTGAGTTTTGTGTGTGCATCCGTTTTACTGGCTTGTATGCAGGTTGTTCCTTGCCGCTCGCGCAGATGCACTCCTGCTTCGAAGGAAGTCCCCAATTGGTCAACTCTAACGACATGCTTGATGGGCAGGCAGTGGGTCTGTTCTTGTTTTCCCAACATTTGAGATCTGGAACCCACACAGGAAGATCTCCCTTGTTGGTGCTTTATTAATATCCTACCCCAAATAGGGAAAATCCACAGGTCCCAGGACAGTCTAATATTTTCAGAAGGTGGTAGTTAGATTGCATGCAGTCGTGAGACCTAGGCTGCATGCAGTCATGGGACCTAGGCTGCTCTCTCTCGTGGGATGTAGGTGTGTTGAGGTTAGGGCCAGTTGTAGATGTTTTGGGTTCGTTAGAAGCATCAGCTGGGAAACCCAGTCTTACCACCCTATAAAATGTTGGATTCTCCTGTGACGTCATCTGGGGGATGATATTAATAAAGCACCCCCTTGTCTTCTTGCCTCAAGGTGCATATTTAAGTCTTCTTTGTTCTCATCTTTTGTCATCTCACTTCTTCTTTCTTCCTCGGGGTAGGAAGAGATCTCATGAACAGACTTTTCTATTCACTTCGTATAAAGTGCTTTTCATTGTCTCTAATATTTCTGTGGTCCATATCTGTGTGGTCGACCTCTGGATCTGTTACTGCCCTATCTGTATAACATTGCTCTCTGTGGTGCCCTTTCTGATGCCGATCTTGTTACCTTGGCCAAACCGTTTAATTTGTTGTCCACCTATAAGTTCAATGTTTGTTCTATGCCAACTCTCTTCCTGATATCATAATTCCTAAGTCGATCTTTCCTCGTTACATCTAGCATAGTACATAAACATATCAATTCTGTCGTGACTATTTTCCTTCTGTCTTCTGAAGACATAGTGTCCATGTTTGACATTGTTTAAAAAGTTCAGGATGGAGGTAACCAATCGATGCGGCTTCAAGAAATCTTAACGTCCTTTACGACGTGTGAAGAATTAGTTCTTATTGTATTCAATGTTCTTTTCTATTAAACAGTTAATAGAAAAGAACATTGAATACAATAAGAAATTATTTGTGGCATTCGTAGACCAGGAGAAGGCATTTGACAGAGTCGACAGACAATTATTATGGAAAATAATGGCAAGATATGGAGTAAGCGAACACCAAATCGAAGTGTGCAAAAGTTTATACAGGCATTGTAGAAGTGTAGTTAGAATAAATCAGGGAACATCTCATCCTTTCACAGTGACATCTGGAGTAAGACAGGGGTGTGTCTTATCACCACTGCTGTTTATCACCTACATCGACAGTATATGCAAGAATGCCAAGCCCATGAATGAAGATCTTAGTAAGATCAACGAATTACTCTTTGCAGATGACCAGGCCTTGATAGCAGATACAGCCATGAAATTGCAACAACATCTAACATCCTTGAATGAAGAATGTAAAACAAATAATATGAGAATCAACACTGAAAAGACAGAAGTAATGTCAATAGGAAAAAAGAAGACAGATCTAAACATAGCAATAGAATACAAAGGCATTAAACAGGCATCTGAGTTTAAATATCTAGGAACTACATTTACCGAAGATGGGAAATTGGATAAAGAAATTAACATTAGATGCAGTAAAGCAAGTATTGGGACAGCTAGCCCCCTCTTACAGCATAAGACAATCCCAGTCAGCACAAAGAGACATCTTATTCAAAGCATATTTATTCCAACTCTGTGCTACCAGTGCCAGACATGGTCACTCACAACAAACCATAAAAGAAAATTAGTAACCACGGAAATGAGAAGGGCTGTAGGAGTGTCCATAAAAGATAAGATCAGGAATGAGATCATAAGAGAACAAGTCGGCACAGAACCAATTCTGGATTACATACAAAGACAGCAAGTGAAATGGTTTGCCCACTTAGAGAGAATGCCTTGTGACACCATACCATACAAAGCATACATGGAAAGAGAAGAAGGACGTAGAGCACGGGGTAGACCAAGAACAAGATGGAAGGATAACATCAGAGAAACTCTACAACAGCACTATGTGCATATGGTCGAGGCAGCCAGAAGAGCTAGAAACAGAACCTTATATCTCCCTCGACACCCACAGCGGTAAAAGAGGA